CATTATTTTTTAGAATGTCCATGCTAACACATGACAGAAACAGTCAATTATCAAGATTCTTTTATAATTTCGAAGAATCCAAAACCCAAAGTGTAAACTTATGTTTCAGTTACATACATATATGTGTATAATAGTTAATAATTTATGATAAATTTAATTGAATTTTGTTTCTAATGTTGGTTACGGTTGCTAATAATTTCTTATTTAGTTTGTAATGTTATAATCATATTCGTCAATATTTTGTTTCTACTTTTTGTATAAATTAGTTACTTCATGTGTATTCTGTTTCTTTTTTAAACGAATTTCCGACCTATATTTCTATTATGAAAGGTATAATAAAGATATTAATAAATAATTAGTAAATATTAGCTACATGGAATGTAGCTATTCCTCAGCGTGAATTATATATTTTTTTATCTACATTTAATGTGAGATTTTTGTTTTACAATAAAAATAGTATTCTATGCGCCAAATTAATACAATGCATAATAATGATAATGCATATATGTACTAAATTTTATTCGAAAACTGTACTATTGTATGTAACATTTATAATAATTTAATTTTGATATATAATACTATATATCAAAATTAAATTATAATAGTATATATAATACTAATATTATAAAGAGAAAGAAAGAGAAGATTTGTATTTTTTTTTTATGTTTGTAACCAATAAACTCAAAAACTACTAGACCGATTTTAAAAATTATTTGACGATTAGAATGCTACATTATCCCTGAGTAACATAGGTTACAGATTATTTTCGAAAATTTTATCTACCAATGTGAAGCCGGACCAGATCGTTAGTATTATACAAAATTATAATTCAATAAAAAAAAACTATCACCACTATCTATCTACACTACCACTACACTAATATTATAAAGATAAAAGATTTGTGTGTGTATATATTTGTAATGAATAAAGTCAAAAATTACTTTGCCGATTTCAAAAATTATTCCACCATTAGAAAGCTACATTCACCCTGAGGCTACATTTATTGCTAAAAAATATTAGGAATCATTACTAAAACTTTAGTAACGCAACTCAAAATGTAAAAAATGCTATAAAATATCTTTCGTCGTGTACGCTGCGGAAACTATTGGTGATAGAACAAAAGTACAATATTGAAAAAAATATCAATAACTACAAAAAACTTCTCTATACTATATGTCCAACTGTTATCGTTATGTCACAATAACCACTATTTAAAATGTTGTAAAAATGTCCACTCGTGCGAAGCCAGGACGGGCCGCTAGCATCTTCATAACACTTAATGAATTCTAATAGGTCTACCTCCACGCAATTCTCCCTGTAAACCATCGTGGTTAATTCTTGTCGAATTCTTCACAGTAGACAAAGTAACCTGCCTTCATCCTCGCCTATCATCTCTCACAGGTGCCCCGACAGCGTATACCGATAACGCAACCGAAGTTACCATTCTATTTTCACCTATTAAAAAAAATACTTTTATAAAACCCAACCCAATTATTAAATTAAATGTTTATTCTTCTCTGTATTAGAACACTTATCTAGTTTACCGCTGTCAAATCAAAAACTTAAACAAACAACTTGGTAAGATGAGAAGTGCTATATCTAGCATAATCCTGAAGATAGTGTGCGTCATGTCATTTAATATCTTTGAACACTAGTCATCCACATAATTACAAGAGTAAACATAGATTAGAGACATCGGATGCAGCAAAGTTATCCGATTTCTTCCAACGCTTAAATCCAAACAGAAGTTTTTAAACGCCTACAAAAACAAAAAAGACATTCAAAATGCGGTTGCATTTTTAAGACTATGTTTACACTATTTTGTCACAAATTTTCCACCAATTTTCAAAGTTCTTTTATAATCGATAGATTTAACCCTAGTGTTGGTTATAGTGATCAAATACCGATATTTTGCAGATAACTACATGTTACATTGCAAAATTTACTTCTAGACATCACACGTTATGATTCCACGTTCTAAATTCAAATATTTACAATGAACTACTATATACTCTTATATACAATATCTACAAAAAAAATTTTTTACCGGTCTATGTATATTAACAACAGAAGTCGCTTTTTATGCAAAGTTGTTTAAAAAAAGTTTATGTTGAGCCTTCTCCATATTCAATGATATTGCGTGTCTAGGTAGTTCTATTGTCTGATAAATAAACTTAGATTAGCATAATTTTGCACTGAACAGTCATTCTGTAAAACCGAGAATACTCGTACCTACCATACGATCTTTACAGAAAATGGAACCCGGATGATCTTGACAACACGGACTTGTTTTGTTAACGACTAACATTAACGGAGGCCACTTTTTCAAACTATTTAAGAAATATGTACTGCTAAGTGTATAATGGTCCTTTAATATTTTTCAATTATGTAAAATATTACTTATAATTTGTTATATATTATAATAGTTATTTTTGGTACCTACAAATCCTTGTGGTCTGTAATAACAATATTGTGAATTTAAAGACAAACAAGAGTATCAACATTATCATGGGCAACGTGGTGCCATGGTGCCATAAATCAGGTGGCGCCAAAGAGTGTTTGTTTTATGCATGGCCCGTGCGGTCGTCTAGGCTGGGACTCCTTACCATTATTTATAATCAATTGATGTTCAATTGCTCTTTAATGAATCATTGATATTAAATCAATAACATACTGATCAACTGAATAATTTCGAGCTACGAATATTAAACATTTTGTTTATTGAATTCTACAGGCATTGTAATATTATTGAACTAAAGAAAAAAATAGTATTTAAAACCAAGTTTTCTTTAAAAAAATAATTATTTTAGTAAATTTATACCGATTTATATATATGATTTTACGTTTGTTTATATATATCCAGACACACTAGGGACGTGTAGAGACTTATACACATGTTAATTGCAATTTTCATTTAAAATTACTACTAATACAGATACAGAAAATGATACGTAGGAATATCTATTACGTAGAGTATTTAAATAACGTCACAATTACCTAAATCACATAAAATACTTTCTATAAATTGTTAGGTTTTAATTGATTTTATGAGAAAGTTTTTATGTAGTTAGACTCTTGCCTATCTAAAAATTTATCATAAATTGAACTTCAAAGCAGTAAAATGTTTATTATAGAATGAGCAACTCTATATGGATTGAATATAGAATTTACATTATTGTCAAATAAAAATCTTATTGGTCACATAGTTATTCGACATAATTATGTTCCAAAAAAAAAACGATTACTATTTTGGCAAAACCAATAATTTCAATTTAAAAACTAAACTAATGAACCGATTTTAATAAAATTTCTATGGGACCAATCTGTAAGTATATTCTTTCAGATCAAAATAAGAAACAACAACAACACAAGAATCTCCTTCATTTTGAAGTCGGTTAAAAATGTGTGTTCACTACTAAGCCATATATTTACGTCAACGTAATAGTTAATATCACATCTCATTATTTCAAAGCACGTTTAAATAACAGCTAAGGACGGCCTGCCGAGGACATGGAATATGTACCTAGCGTCATCAATTGAACCATTTCTATGCTTCATCACGACTATGCAAATGCAGCATAGAAATCAGTATCAACATAGAACATGTCAGTTATTGGCACTTCTCTGCATAGTGGAAGTCGTACTTTCAGTCAATAATTTATGATTAGGAGGTAAAATTTGTGAATTAATTATTAATTACATCTTTCATGCCTCAGAATCGCATATGTGATAATAGTAGCTAATGGTAAGATTTTATAAGCCATTTGTAAGAAAAATGTCTAACGTGCCTAACTAGATACTCTTAAGAAATACCTATATATTTTAATTCGAATGAAATGGTGTTCGTCATAGAAATAGAATGACGAACGAATATGTTTTACATTCGGGTGGCTTTGTCAGTTTTAAGCCGCGCGCCTTTAACCATGTAAGTTTTATTCCATTAAGAGTCAGAATGGGTGCATTTAATCGACCCCAGCGGGTAATATGTGATGTGACATAACTGTTTTCAATTCAAATTTTAACCACCTGAATTGTGTCTTTATTAACAAAACTTAAACTAAATTTTAAAAAATATTTCCAATATTAAATAAATTAATATAATATTTAATCAAGTGTTGATATGCAGAAGTAAATCTCGCTAGTTCGGTGTTAATTTACTTTCGCCCGCTACTATTGCCAATCATGTAACCAAAAAACTAACATAGGGATCCCACAGACCTTTAATGATTAGTATAGGTACTCATCAAATCTACCTAGAAACACTACCGCTAACGCTACCTAAAATGTAAGCCAATATTAAAGAAGGAGATGTTTGTATTTTGGATACAGGTGTTTAGTAAAAACAATGTAGATTGTTTCCCATAAAAGTTTAGTGGTCATTCATATGTTTATTAATTGAATCGGAAAACAAAAGAAAATTCATTATTATCTGTGCATTCGCCAAATTTTCATGAAAGGGATTTCTTTAGTCTATATTCTATTTTACACATAATAACAATGGGTCTAGTCGTTAATAAAATAATTAGCCACTATTAAATATAATGCTGGGGTTGCTTTAAGTAAAAGAGAAAAATCACCTATAATTTTTCTTCACAGTGCTCCATGAATCGCTCTCATGAAGAGTTGGTGATCAAATAAGGCATTAAATGTAAAGATTAACCGCTAAAGTTTAATTATTATTTTCCTCTTCATTTATTAAGTATACAAATTACAAGAGGTAAATAATATTATTATTTAAAATAGGTATGCTTATGTTACATACGTCACTAGCTATTTCGACAATTATTGACTGATTAAAGTATTATTTATTAACTTGATTCCTCAATTAGTAAAATGAGTCAATAGATGCATTTTAAAATTAATTTTGTTTTCCTCCAGTGACAAATTTTAATAGGTAAATATTCGTTACTAATTAATACAGTTGCAATTAAACATGAGATAATTAATTATTCATACTTATTATTAGATACATAAAAAAAATGATAAAAATATACACGTACAAATCTTACTTCACCACTCCCGGCGTAGTCACATGGCTTGTGCACACTGGTAAGTTTAGAACTCCTATTTTTGTAACTTTTACGAACATCCACAAAATATAACACGTAACAATGTCACTAATAGGGCGTCACAATAATATTCTTAAAAAATATACTTTCTCATATTAAATGTTCTTTTCTTAAAGATCGAGACAGCCTCAGGCAGGCGTACGTACGGACGTGCGCCGTTCGCGGGATAAATTGAGTTGTGTCGTGGTCGGTTCGGTCGTGGGACGTAAAATTGTGGTGGTGCATTCAATTCAGTTCGTGCTTACCGCCGCCGCCCGCACCGCCAGATGACAGCTTCATCTTCCCTTCCATCCCTACTCCCGCAACGGCCCTCAAGATAATCGTAGCAACGAAATAGACTTGTTGCACTTTTATTTTATTTTAAAACCCAACCGGTCCGAGCTGTCTTCGACTCTTGGATTATTTATATGTAGATAATAAGTTTGATGTTATGCCGACCCAAAGGTCAGTATAATTCACCTATGCATGATGAGTTTTATCTTAAATATATAGAGCAATTAATAAAAAAAATGACGAATAAACTTTGATCTATACTAATGTCATAAAGAGTAAAGATTTGAGTGTTTGTTTGGAAAGAATAAACTCAAAAACTACTACAAATTATTCTATTTTTTTTTTTACACTTCTACGTCATTATTAGCGAGTAACAGGCTATTTATCATTTTCGAAATTTCTATCAACTAGTTTTTAATCAATTTGAAGTCACGGTTAACATAAATAGGTACTTACTTAGGTACAATTCGTGATCTTAAAGCAGTATTGACGTATACACTACTTTACTTTTATTTTTTTAAAGACCCATAAGTTCGGAACGTTTTAACTCTCATCAATAAAAACAAAAATAAAGTAGAATAAAACGATTATTATAATTGTTTTATTCTACTATTTAAATTTGCTATCTACATCACACGATTTTGAGAATAATAGCGAAATATAACAAAAAATATAATAAAAAGAAGATAGAAGATAAAAATAAGGAAGTCTAATATCTTTGAGTGGAAAATTGGCATCAGACCTGTATTGCCAAGACAATGAAACTTATATGCTAAACAAATTCAAAGCTAAAAAGTTTACAATTCACTTAATCTTCCAAATGGCTATAAGATGACTTAGTCAAAAACTGACTAAATTTTCAAGCGATAACAACAATCATACCAGGGGGAGAAAAGGGATTGTTAGTAATGTAGACTAAGAATCCCATTGCTAGCAATATATCCAACCAGGTCGACCTCCTCGCGGTTCCCCCTGGAAACTATCATGATTAATTCCTGATAAATTCATCATGATGAGCTAACTGGCCTGTTTTCATCCTCATCGATCACCCTTCACTGGTGCCCCGCCAGCGTATCTAATTAGCGCAGGCGGGGTTACCACTCCATTTTCATCCAATAAAAAAAAAACAACAATCATACCGTATACGCACAATATACTGATCAATGTACTTATTAAGTTAGAATATAATCTATCCGTGTAAAAAACTTCATTCTAATTCATTTAGCGGTTTATGCGTGATTAACAAACATATAAACATCTAAATACAACTAAGTTTCTCATATATATATATATATATATATATGTATGTATATATATATATATATATATATACATACATATATACATTTTACGTTTTAAAAATTCCAAGCTCAATATAATCGGTAGATGTCCAGAAAAGGCCTTCTACCTACCTGTATATAGATATAGGTGTGAATGTACCTACATCAAGTTCTTGAGAAAGTCATTATAGAGACCTTTACCGCAACATGTTTTTTGTTCTCGCCGCGCATATTTGTGTTGCATAAAAAACGTTTAAAATTGCGTTGATTGAGTTGTTACAGCGGAAGCTCAAAATGTGTAGTGATTTCATGCACTCGAGAGCTTTTTTTTTATAAATGATTCTATACAAATTAAAAAATAAAACCATTTTAATTGTGTAAGGTGTATTGAAATTATTTTGATTGTAGCGAAAAGCGTATAGGGAACTGTTAGAAATAGGTTTATTTTCTTGCAACTATAAATTACTGGCCTGTTGTAAAGTTATAAGCTGCGCTATCGGTATATACTGGCGGGGCACCAGTGAGTGATGATAGGTGAGGACGAAAAGACAGGTCAGTTAGCCCATCGTAATGAATACATTTGGAATTCAGCACTCATAAGCCATTAGAAACCATCATTGCGCGCCCTTGTTATTTACGGTAAAAAATTATGTTTGAGTTTGAAAAGTAGGCATACTGATGGATGTGGAATGTTACAGGAGACCAATAATGTTATTTAATATTTAAATATTTTATTACGTACAATGTTACAACGATTATTTTAGTGACAAGACATAAGTCAGTTTATTTTTCTATTTAATTGAGCTGTAGGTCTATGGCCGTGTACAACCTCTTTCTTACACTCCTCCTCACGGCATAGTATCTACCTACTGTAGGAGTCCCAGCTCTTGGCGACAGTATTCATATTTAGGACGAGGCAAAGCTTTTGTAAAGATGTCCGCTATCATATTCCCTGTTCCTAAGTATGAAAGTTGCACCACATTTTGTTGCACCATATCTCTTATAAAATGTTGGCGGATATCGATATGTTTGGATTTGGCGCTAATGATAGGGTTTATTGCTAACTGTTGAGCGGCTTGATTGTCGTTGTGAATAGTAATTCCTTTTTGTTTAAAGTAACCCAAATCAATTAGAATATTTTTCAAATGAACAGCCTCTTTTGTACATTCGCTCAAAGCCATGTACTCGGCTTCCGCCGTTGAGAGTGCTACAGTCCTTTGTTTTCTTGACTCCCAACTTATGACCGCACCGTTCTTTATAAAACAATGAGCGGTATATGACCGTCTATCTAATGGACACGATGCCCAGTCGGCATCTGCGTAACCCTTTAAAATTTTATCTCCATTCTTGTGGAATGTTAATTTTAAATCTATTGTACCTTTTAAGTATCTAATTACGCGCTTTGCAGCTGCCCAGTGTTCTTTTCCATAATACGCAATGAATTGACCAAGATAGCTAACAGCATGAGCTATGTCTGATCGCGTGGCAACTGACAGGTACATGAGGGCTCCAATCAAGTTTCTATAGGGTAAGTTCGAATCTGGATGTTCTTCTTTCTTTAATTTTAATGCTGTCTCCATAGGAGTTGCCACAGGTTTTGCATCTTGCATGGAGAATTTCTTAAGGATATCTTTAATGTATTTCTTTTGACTCATAGTAATTTTTCCTTTATCCTGTTTAAATTCTATACCTAAACAGTATTTCAACTCTCCGATGTCTTTCATTTCGAACTTTCTCTCTAGTGCTTTCTTTACTTCTTTTAAAATTTCTGAACTTGAATATGCTATAATTAAATCGTCAACATAGACTGTTATTATTATTTTATCTCCTCCTTTCTTCAATAGGTATATGCAAGGATCTGCATTACTTGATTCAAAACCTATATCTTTTAATTCTGCATCTAATCTTTTATACCATTGGCGTCCGAATTATTTTAATCCGTATAAAGCCTTTTGAAGCTTGCAAACTTTTTCTTCTTTAATATTTCTAATATCTTCTAGCATCCGTTTAGCCTTATTGAAGAATGTTAAATCATTTTGACTACTTTCGTCAACCATAATTTCCATTACATATTTTTCTAAGTAAGGAGGCATTTTCATTTGTATATTTTCTTCTAGCTCTCCATTAAGATACGCTGTAGTGACATCCATTTGATCTAATTTTAGATTATCCTCTATGGCTGAACTAATGACTGATCTAACAGAACTTAGTTTCACAACGGGGGCAAATGTTTCAGTATAATCTACACCAGGTTGCTGTGTGAATCCCCGCGCTACTAACCTAGCCTTCTTTATTTCAGTGTTATCTGCTTTCGTTTTTATTCTTAATATCATTTTGTAATCTACTTCATTAATACCTTTTTCTTTCTTTGCTATTGTCCACGTTCCGTTTTTAATGTGTGCTTTTATTTCAGCTTTGATAGCATCGTGCCAACCTGTATCATTTTCATCGTGTTCACCAAGGTAAGCCATTTCTGTCACGTGCATGCTCCATAACCTGATGGATGTGGAATGTTACAGAAGACCAATAATGTTATTTAATATTTAAATATTTTATTACGTACAATGTTACAACGATTATTTTAGTGACAAGACATAAGTCAGTTTATTTCTCTATTTAATTGAGCTGTAGGTCTATGGCCGTGTACAACCTCTTTCTTACACATACAAACCTTCTGAAAAAATCAGTTAACTATTTTTATTCATCATAGAAATTTTACGAATCCATTAAAATTTTCTAAATTAGTCATTAACATTAATAGAACTGTTTAGACTAGTATTTCTAAACAGTTCACCTTTTTTTTTGTATGAACAATTCGTACTATGATGCCAACTTTGACAGCAACAAAACGTTTCTTACGCATCTCTAATGTCAAATAAAGCGATGTTGAAAAAGTTAGTTCTTGAGTAAATTTTTATAAATTGTTTTAATATTTGTAGTGGTTTTTGTAAGGATTTAAGTTATTACTTGCTCTGTGGGATTTTTAAGTGATTCTTCATTTTGCAAAGTCAGAATTTATAAATTACAAGTGGTTTTAAGGTTCATATTTTTACACAAAAACATAAGTGTTTAAATTCTGAAGTGAATATATGAAATTATTTCTATTTGAGTTGCATCATAATCTAAGTTAAATTTTTTTGTAGATGTGCAACGAATACAAATTATTTAAATACTTAGAGAGTGAATACCGAATGAAGAGAAGAAATAAGCGTCGTCGGTTAAGGTAAATTAATGACCCTTTCGAATTGGAGGATAGAGAGTTTATAAATGAATATAGGTAGATACTTTACTGTTATTTATATATATCTATGTATATGCTTAATTAAAATTTAGTCTAAAGTATTGACTTGATTATTTCACATTTTTATGTATTTTATATTCTACTTATAATAGTGGTTTTATTAATGGATAGTCTTATATAGATAAAAATTCTTTATTGTTTATTCTAAAAAAAATTTGTATTAAACTTATAGTGAAGACCGCGGAAAATTTGTATTTTTAATCTATAACGAAAAAGACCTGAAAAGTTACTTTGACATTGACATATCATGATAACATGATAATGACATTTTTTTACATACATATTTGTTTATGTTTGTTTTAATTTGATTTCATTAGAATTTAGATTTTTCAAAAATAATAAGTTACTCATATTCAACTATTTATTTAGTTACAATAATTGTATTCCATTTTTCTTTTATTATAATTTTATTCATCCAGATTCTACAAAAAACTATTAAGGTGTCACACATCTTACAAATATTTCTATTTATCCTATATCAATATTTATTCAAATGGCATTGTGTCCAAGAAAATATTTAATTAAAGATTTAATAGATAAACCTACACCTTTCGACGTTTGGTTACAAGGTACAATTGAGCAAACGGTGGGAAACGATATTTTGATTATTTCTGACATATCAGGTAGAGCAAAAATAACCAAATGCGAATCTGCTGATGGAATAATCACTAAGGACTCCATAAAGAAAGGTGGGCTATAAATGTTAATGCAATTTTAATGTTAAAATGAAGTCTGTAATTTTACAAAATAATACCCATTGACCAGTTTCCTAGAGATGGCAAATATGCCATTTGTCTATCTAATAGAAACAAGGTATACTCTCCTATAACCATAAATAATACTACCAATGGCATTACTATAAAATAAAATTTATATATGGTATTATTCAAATCTATTGGTGATGGTTACCACTTTCAATCAGGTGAATTGTCAGCTTATTTACCATTTTAAGATGCATAAAAACTATACAGTAATGAAAAAAGGATCTAAAAAGTTAATTTACCATTTCACATTTACATCTATCCAAATTCATTGTCTAGATGGAGACTGAACAAATCTCAGTGCTTATCACTCTCTTATTCGTATTTCTGCCAACAAGCAGCTCTGCTTCTATTGCTTTTCTACGGTGGTAACTTTTAAAAGGTGGGGCATAGCAGAGAATTAAGTGAATACGGAGTTTTAAAACCACATAAATAATAACAATTTAGAAATGGTTTATTTTTTAGACTATACAAAAAAAGTTCTCAATTCTGTATCTTTTTAACATTTGTTACCTTATATCAAAGTCAGTAGTTTATATTTTAAATCAAAAAGTTTTACCAAGATCAAAGTAGTTTTTCTTTTTGTAACAATTTAATTATTGAAAGATAAAGATGTAGTTGCCATGTAGCCTAGCATAGAATAGGCCACCCCTTCCTTTCCCATGGGTATTGTAAGAGGCAACTATGGTAACTTAATGGTTGAGGGATGGGCAGCAGCGTCCCTCTTAATACATCTCTAAAGCCTAACTGTGGTTAATCCGCCTGCCAAGCATGGCAACTACTGGTAAAACTCCCCCAACAGAGGGAATCCTATATTCAGCAGTGGACAAGTAACAGCTGATATAGTAAAGATGAAATAAATAGATCATTGGAGTATGAAATAATCAGGATAATGTCAGGTCAGTTAATACATTTGATGATTTCATTAGAAAGCACCATAGACTTAGTATAATGTACTTACTGAAGCAACCATAATGATTTCTTCCTCTTCTTATTCATAATTTCCTAGGGTCTCTATAATGCTGTTCATGTCCATAGATGATTGTTAGCACTTTCTATCAGCTTGCTTATTTACAATTCCAAGTTACATAAAAAAAAAACATATTTTTTTTAAATATTTCTGCAGATAAATTTTATCCCAAGTTCAAAGTCAACATTTTTGTTCTAGGAACTTATTGCTGCATTATAGGTGTAGTGATGAAAACAAAAGGAAAATTACCAGAAATTCAAGCCAATAAATTTCTAGACTTAAATTCACAACCACAAATGAAACTAGCATGGGAATATGAAGTAAAAGAAAGTGAATTATTATACCAGGGAAAATTACTACCTTCAATAAATTAGTCTTTTTTACTACATTGCACTGTAACTTATTTTCCTCCACAGTGGATAAAAAAAATCCAGACATTATATTTTCCATTTATGAAAATACTAATTTTTTACCTGCTTGTACAGGTATATTTTAGAAGTAAGAAAACCAATTAAATAAAGCACTTCTATATGACGTATCACAATAAAACATACCAGATTTTAAGTTAGGAACATGCCTCTGAAAACTGCATTCAATTTTGTGCAGCAATTTTTGTGTGTTGCAGAACAAACAGGCAGACAAAATTTCTAAAAATCGTTTTGACTAATATTGAAAACCAACATGTGTCGTATCAAGAGGTGAAGAGACTCGCTGAAAATCGTAGTGAGTGGCAAGAGTTTCACCGACAAGAGCGCAGCTCTTAAATAGGATAGATAGATAGATATCTCCCATGTACAAATGTCTACTTACAATTTTATTATATTAGTAAGATATATGTACACACTTGTATATGTTTGTCCCTTTTTTATAGTGGGGGAATAAGTTCAAAATAACAGAACAGGAAATGAGATCTGAGAGACCTTTACCAAGCAGTGTGACATCATGGATTTATAATATAATAGAAATGTTTGTAAGTAGATAAAAGAAACTGACAAATTAGATTTTTGACTCTATCATACGTTTGTACGATATGTATAAGGTTTTTATTTTGAGTTTTGAAGGTTCAACTTCAAATTTAGTATATATTTTATCTGGATATTTGTATATTTCGCTATTTTTACTTTACTACAAACCCCACAAACATTAAGCCGTCAACATAATCTAAATTTATATAGAGGTTTGTGAGTTTAAATGTTCAGGATTATCTTCGGTACTAATGATTCGATTTTGAAACTTCTTTCACTATTAGAAAGGTATCCCTGAGTGCTATAATCTACTTATTATTTTGGCAAATATATATTTTCGATAATTAATCACAATAAGTGTAGTTGAAGTCTGCAAAAAATATATAAATATGGCATGCGTTGCCTGAACGATTTAAAATAAAGGAATAAAATGTATAGCAAAAACATTCATTACTTTTTTTACTTTTTCTTATATATATATAATATATATATATATATATATATATATATATATATATATATATATATATATATATATATATATATATATATATATATATATATATATATATATATATATATATATATATATATATATATATATATATATATATATATATATATATATATATATATATATATATATATATATATATATATAGGCAGGTAATAATATCTCAGCCAAAAAGATGATTTTTATGTTCTACATAAAAGGAATTTTACACACCGTTCATTCTAAAATCTTAGATAAAATTAGTGCAGTATATTCACACACGCCAAAATAACAGCCTTACTAAAATGTGTTGAACAGTTTAAAACACAAGTTACACAAATATTGCACCCGTGCGAAGCCGAGGCGGGTCGCTAGTAGTAGATAAAGTTTATACTCATAGGATAATAGTATTATTAAGTTCATGCTAATTTGCCTCCATCTGATATAATCAGGTGACTGACCTAAAATGTTATCATCGTCATCATCTTCCTACCCTTATTCCAATTATTATTTGGGGTCGGTGTAATATGTTTTCCTCTATGTTGACCTAAAATGTTATCATGATGAATAAAAATAGTTACTGAATCAAATCGAAATCACTTTATATAAAAAAAAAGCTACTTTTATTCTCACTTTTGATGCTTAATTGGTGCTGGTACCATTCCACTTTAATGATAAGTAATAACATATTTATCGAGATTCGTTAGCAATATTTCTAAGATGGCTGATTTCTGTGTATGAACTATTTGAATTCTCACATTGTTAAAGTCTTCACATTGGTAAACCGTCAGCTTTAGTATCAATAAATGCCAATATTGTTCTAGGTATATAATTTTTATGATACTTAAAATAACAACCAAGCTAACGACCCACCTGCTGAAAAGTAGCTGCTACCTTTTGATCTATAGACATGAACAGCAATATAGACATTATAGAATAAATTATTATGCCATGAATCATCACAATCTGAAATCCCAATATAAGGAATCATCCTTCATAGTTTACCATTCTTGAGCATCTCAATGTACTATAATACTACATGTACATATATGAATAAGCCAGGGATTCATTGCCAATAAAAGTCATAAAATGGTACAAATTGTATATTCCCTCACCTTTGTAGAAATATCATTACTTAATTCATAATGGAATCAACATTTGTATAAAAATATATATTAACAAAATAATATATACCAAATACATAAGTGTTTGATCGTCTAATAACTTTTGTTAGGTGAATTATATAATTTTATCTCCAAATAAATAAATGCAGTATTTAAATACCAACCCATTCGTCATTAAATCTCATTACCAAATTAATTCTTAACATAATTAAAACTCTATAAACAACAACAATTTAATATAAAAGATTTACAACTTCGCTTCAGACTGAAGTAGTGGACCGAGTTTCTGTGCAAGCATCATGTTTCCTGCAATCTTGAGTTTTCCTTTCATGAACGCTACCTGTGGACTTAGACTACCGGATGCAATTTCTACAAGGTCAGCGTCAGACAGTGTCAATGTGGTGTCAGGCTTTCCACTCTTGGGTTCACCTTCGTATGCCTCACCCTTTTTCAAGTCGAGAGCTGTGAACCAGAAATAAACATCATTTATTATACAAGAGATTAGATAACTTTTTAAGTCAACATTTTTATTTATCACATATTTAAAAGAAATACACTATTCATTTTAACTAATTAAGTATGTATAGTATATTATTAACAGTATGATTCCAACGTAAAGTTTTTGTCAATAAAATTCAAATGTAATAAAATTACTGATAATGTATTTGATAGGCAATCATTTTAATACATTACTTTACATATTGCATCGTCATGTCACGTAATGCTAATTTTACAGAATAGTTGTTCAAAATTTCAAAACTTCATGATCTCCATTATGTTAGACATTGCAGAGGTTGCAAGTTCGAATCTGACTGATATATATGTTGTATAAAAAAAAAACCCCACACCAAGTATTAGGTGATAGGAAACGCTATTAACAAACCCTATTATTACGAAAGTTAAAGCCTGTCATATTGTATCAAATAATGCACTCAACAAAGTATGTCGAATATTACATTATACCAAAATGGTAACATTTTACAAAAGACTGAGTAAGTGAGTATATATATTTTAGTTATAATTATTCAGTCATACAAAATAAATACTGCATACTAAAATATTCACATGTTATGCGAGTACAAGACATACACAAAACTGTTAAACGCAAACAAAATGTTCATTGTTTGTGTTGGCCTTTATGTTTATTTATAATGACTTCTACTGGAGCTACTGTACACACAATCAACATTACACAATTTAATACTCACTCCACTTCTTGACAACTTTTCCTGCGTCTGTGACGTTGTAAAGGAACACTCCATTAACGCTCTTTCCTTTCGCTGGATTCTTAGCGAGTTCATCCCTCATCCTTGCGAATAAGCCATCGCTCTTCAGTTCCGATGCAGATACTGGGGAACTGGTTACACCACCAGGAGCATTTTTGAAATCCATGTATGCACCTGTTATAGGGTTTTTTTGTTTGAATTTATTATTGTGTGAGCGATACGATACGCACTACTTATGTTTAGTCACCGAATGCGATGTAGATATATTGTTACTTTGAACACCACTATAAGTTTGTTAATTACGACCTCTTGACACCAGTTATTATTTAAATATATACAATAACGACACTGCGACGTTACTGAATTACAAAACAATCATATTTACATAACAACTTGTATGTAATGTAAATATATTAAGACTAGCCGTTTCGGCGACACGCGCGCACGTAAATAGGTCATAATGTTGCAAGAAATTGAAAATAATACTATGCAAAGACAACAGAAGGCGTTAGTGAGCATTCGAGCTTGAATTCGGTAACTTTCATACCTACGTATTCAGAGTATGTATAATCTGATAAGTAGAGAGAGAGATAAAAAGAATATGTAATTAATATATTTACCCAAGTTTGATGAATATATGTACTACTTAATACTATTTATATAAAGTGACTTTTTATGATATTTGAGCTGTTAAAGAGCCAAAAGGTGACTCCCTCTTTCACATTATATAAAAAAAACTAAATGCTACAACAAATCGTTTACGGACTCGACCGATTTGGCTACGTTAAAAAAATTAACCTAACCTGAAATAACAGTGATTCCAGTCTCCTTGACCTTCGTCTGGAAGTGCACACGGCGTCCTTCCAACCACATCTCTGTAGAAAGAGTTTGTCCAGGCATTACGGGTTTGGCGAAACGAGCTTTAAGTGCCTTTACGTTAGAGGGGTCGTTACCACCGAACCTGTAAAATAAAAAATAAAATAAACTATGACAATCTTATTCTAAAATAACTACACGTTACGGAACTAATTAATGCCAACTATCTAATCACAATAGAAGCGATTGTTTATCTTGTCAAAAGTCTTATAAACAAGGTGTAATGGAAATAATACAGCGATCTGATATCCAGCGATAATATTTATTAAACTGAATAAAATAATACTCTGTTCCCTTTATAGTGCTTTATAATGCTGTTTGCTTTAAAGATTCTAAAATAAATTTCATAATTCAGTCCATATTCTATGGGAAAATTTGTTAAGATTTATTAATACTCATAATAATCGCTGGATATCCAATAACTTTTAAATTGAAATTAAGAAAGAATCACGATAAAAAAAAATTTTGAAAAAATAAACTACAAGAAAAATTTTGAAAAAAAATCGAGTCTAAAATATTCAGACCAATGTAGGTGTCACTGTATGAAATTAAAACTCCAAGTGAAGTAACACCAAGATGATTTAACACTAAGATAGAGTAACAAAATCTAATTTGAATTAATAAAAACAATTAAATAAATTATTAAGTACACTATTAAAAATAAAAAATAAAATATTAAATTAAAAAGTAAACATTTAAAAACAAAAATTAAAAGCTTACTTGACTAAAACGTGTCTCGCAGAGAAACCAAGTGACGCGAGTCCGTGTAGTATGGGCTTCTCGTATCCACTGACCAACGCCACGTTTTTATCGATATGTAGAGGGTTTAAGTCACCAGATAACCTATAAAAATAGACGATAAATTATCTTATCTATAAATGTTCAATTAATAATTTGTTGAAACTTTAGCACCGAAATAATTAGATAGGAATCTTCGGGCATAGTTTTGACTACTTCATTTTGTATACAATATATATATTACGTCAACACTGACACTGAATTACAAATTAGTTGTCATAGAATAAAAATACAGTGCATGACTACTCATTTTCAACATTAGGACACCCTGGGACGACACTGTTCCTAGGAGGCGACTAGGAAATCAAATCCCAAGAGCACATGAGAAGTAAAAACTCGAAATAGCATCATATATCAAGTCGCCATGCCAAATGAGTAATATAGGCTATAATAGTCGTTATTCTGTCACTTAGTACTATTGTATACCTTCTTACATTAATTTCAAGTGGCAGAAGAATAATTATTATGATTTTTCTGCTCTTATTCCAATTATATATTCGGAATCAGCGTAATGTTTTTCTGTTTCATTTATCTCTATTCGCTGTTATTTCCGCATTCACTCACATTCTGGCCATATTATCTTTCATACAGCCTATTCATGTCTTTTTAGATCTTCCTTTTCCCTTACAATCACCCACTTCATACTTCTTTCCTTAAAACATATTCAAGTGACAGGACAACAAGCATTTGGTAAAGAATTGTATAATATATAAAGAATTGTTTATTAAAAAATCCGTCTTCAATCACGGCAAAATCAGTTATTTTCATTTAAAAACTAAACTATTTAACTGATTTGGATAAGATTTCTATGGTATATATATATGAAAATATATCCTTTCACATAAAAAAAAAAGAATTTTCCAAATCGGTTTAGAACTGACAAAGTTATGAGGTAACCGTGAAGCAGCTGTGTTTGCATGGCTGTGTTTCGGTTTGAAGGGTAAATTTACTGGCGTAAATTTACTGGGTACAGAGGAATAACACCTGAGTCCTCAGAAATGGCAACGCATGGGGGTATCATGGGCGAAAGAGTATACTCTGTTATGTCCATGGTACTGCTCATGTTTATAGGCGACGGTTACCACTTTACATCAGGTGGGCCGTCAGCTTGTTTGCCATTCTAAGTTGTATAAAAAAAATAGTAGATATTAACATAAAAAATAGACTGGATGCTAGTCCCACAATTAGGTTTAAACAATTTAAAAAGTTTATTTGTCAAAATAATTTCTTATTAAGGAAAGAAATGACTCTACTTGAACAGTACAGCCTCAGCTTGTTACGGCCACAAACACAACTGCTTCACGGTTGAACTACTAGTAAAACCTCCCAATGAGGAGACTTATATTAAGCAGTGGATAGTTAACAGTCGATATGATGATGGCAAAGTAAGGCAAGATAGGTATTAGTATTTTTAATATTACTGCATGAAATTTTTGTTTAGATAAGATTAGAAGGTTTATTATAACATAATTAGTATTTTAGAAAGCCGTAGATTCTGGCTAAATAACAATAGTTATTATAACATCAGGTACACCTATCCCCCGATTTACACGGTAGATACATTCCTGAGAAAAACGTGTAAATCGAAAATTAAAAATTTTCAAGTCAAAACCGTGTAAATCGAAAAGCTTGCAGAAAATGCATAATTTTGCTATTAAACAGTTGTGATTTTTTTCAATATTTTTAGGTGTACACAGAAATAAAAATAAAATGCATTGACAGGTTAAAATATGTAATAATTACGGAAACACTGTTTTTTTTATTTAATTACAATACATTAAACAGAAAAACAAACAATTAAACCAAAGGTGTTTTATTATCCAGTACTGTGCGTGTACACAGCGCACGTGTTCAAACACAGTAGCATTTAGTAGAGTGCGATAAAAACAAAAAAAAAACTTATTTGGAAAACCGTGTAAAAGCGAAAACGTGTAAAACAAGTACCGTGTAAATCGGGGGATAGGTGTAGTGTATTAGTTAATACTAATTTTCCATGTAGTATGGAGTGCTCGCATCGTATAACTTGATAGTATCGCTCTTGTATTCGAGAATACATTTGTGCCTACATATTTATCATATCTATAAAAAAAACAGAATTAAATTGTGGCATAACCAACTAAACTACAGTACTGATTTTGATAAAATGTCTATGGGACCAATTTGTAAATGTATCCTTTCAGATAAAAAAAAAATTCTAAATCGGTTTTAGAACTAATGGAGTTATGGGGTAACAAACGAAAAATACAACCGAAATTAAATCCTCCTTTTTTTTAAATCGGTTGAAAATATATAAATTTCATTGTTTATCTCCATCTGTGTGTACATACGTACTATACGTAGATATTGGGTAAATTTTCGAGACAACTTCTATAGTCCAATGATAACATACAATAATAGTATAACCTATTACATAGGTCCAATATAAAGATCTGTGCCTACAGTGATAACTGTTACTGATATTGTTCTTCCTTTTTGAACGTTGATAAACAATATACCCTTATCAAGTACTAGTTACAATTTGTAAGTGTGACGCTTGTAATAATCATAACTTGTACTGATAAAAACAAGAAACATAATTAATTATCTTCGTAGATACAATAATAAATTTGCACTCGGTTGAAATATTATTTTAATAACATTAGACACTTGTTTTGTATTTGTACTTTACATTAAAAAAATAGCCGTATAGGTCCCGGCATAGATTGGGCCACCACTTCCTTTCTCGTGAATATCGTAAGTAGCGACTAAGGGAGTTTACAGTCAAAGAATTGGCAGCAGCGTCCCCTTTTAAAATATTACTAAAGGCCAAACTATCAACCATCTGCCAACGGGACAACTATTGACAAAACCCCTTAACCCTTCTTTACATGATTTTTTTTATTGGTGAAATCAAAGTCATAAAATCAAAGCAATACAATTCATGTTTAAAATTACAGAAAAAATGGCTAAAACTATTAATTTGACAGCTATGTTTTTTTTTCTGCAATGGACGTTAAAAAATTATCAAGACACAATCAACTTAAAGTGAAGGTCTTTTATATAAGTTTTAGGCATTCAATGTTATGATGGAAATTTCCACCAGTATGCAAAGAAGGGTTAATAGGCTATATTCAGCAATGGACAGTTAACTGCTGATACAATGCAAAAAATAAATGAAAGAAAATTTTTTTTATGCAACTTAGAATGGCAAACAAGCTGACGGCCCACCTGATGGAAAGTGGTAACCGTCGCCTATAGACATGAGCAGTACCATGGACATAACAGAGTGTACTGTTTCGCCCATGATACCCCCCATGTGTTGCCATTCCTGAGGACTCAGGTGTTATTCCTGTGTACCCTATAAATTCACATATAGGAATAAGATTTCTAAACATCATAAAAGAACAAAAAACACACCCACATAAGTTATCATAAAAAAATCTGCCTCATCACTAACGTAATTACTTTTATCTATCGTATGAACATAAAGGCACGTCTACGATTACGTCCAAAAAATATATATTACTTAAAAAAAAAAACTCTTAAACATTAGCGAATCCGGGTTCATATTTATGATACATTTATTACAGACCAAATAATACATAGGTGAACTTTAGTCCTCTGTCTCTCAGACAGTCCATCTATAATTTAGGTTTATTGTCTTAAGTTCGTTACGGCAAATAATACGTTATCTATGACGGTAAAAAACGATTATCAACGATTGTCTTTATATACTCACGTTAGTTATTTAAATCTATGGTAAGAATTAGATATTTCATTCAATACAGTTCTTACCACAGGCAACAACGTTTAAAAAAATAAATATCTCGAGAAAATAAAAAAACTATTGTAAAAAACAATTATATATGAAACTACTTTTTGCCATTCTTTTAGTCGTTATGATAAGTTAGTTAAAAAAAACTGCAAAAAAGGAAGTTCTCGATTCTTCTGTATTTTTTGTATGTATAACGTGATATCTTGGTCAATCTGGAGCAAATTTGATAATTCTTTTTTGCAGTCGATAACCTTTTTTGGTCCCATATTAATTTAATATTTGAAATCGAAATATATTTCGCAATGCAAAATCTTAGATATGTATTATTGTCCCATTTCAAGCAAGAAACTTGACTGGTCCCTTTTAATTCAGTCTATTCTACAAATATATTTTGTAGCAATATTTCTTTATTTAGCTATATTCCATATATATTTACCACATTTAACATATTTAAAATGTACATAATTAACTATCCATGCAGTGACGAGGAATACCATGTATCACTACTTTTTTCATCACTAGGATATATGGGTATGTAATACATAAATTTAGTGTATTAGAAGATAAACTACAATTAATACCACATAGCAAACCAATTGGCCCGTGTGGTAATAAAAGGCTATATCCTTCTTTTTAGGCGACCTGTACCTAGTAATCAGAAGCTAACACATTTTAAGCGGGCTGTCTAATAGCCCTGACGATCCTGCGAACCACGACGAACTACAAGAATCTTAAAACAAACATCTATTTATGTTTCATATATCAACCAACGAGTACTGTGCCCCGCTTTTAACATAAGTACTTTCCAAACGGGTACAAATATCCGCCCCGCTAACAGATGGCAGTCCAAAAAACGAATACTAGTACCCGGCCCACTTATGTCTTAATAGAATAAAGACTTATGAATTGAAGACGACCTCACCCACCGATGATTGTAGGTTCGATCCCTATATATTACAGACATCTGTGTGTTTGATTTGGGAATTTTCGGTGTCTAATATGTATATGTTCAAATTTGCTTATCAGTTGAGTAATACCTATAAACTCTGCTTATTTTTTTGCAGTGTGTACAATATCCAAGGGTATTAAAAAAAATTTTTAACCGTACCTGTAAAGGGCAGCCTGGTCCTCAGCAGTGCGCTGTTCAACAACAGCGTCTGGAGCCCTCTTGGGCACGGGTTGTACGTCGACACCGGCACTGCTAGTACGCGGGCCACCAAACCCACCCTGGCCGACCACGAATATGTGCTGTTGGGTGCGGTATAACAGCCTTTGTTCCTGGTACACTTCGCCTATTTAAAAACATAGGTATTTATTAAAAAAATTATACCCCAACAGTGGATACTAATAATATATACAAAACTACAATTTCATTTTTAAAATATTACAGGAGTTTTCGATAAAAAAAACTAATCATCCTTACTGTTAACAATGACGACCGCGTTGGCGCCCTTGTCCAATACGTCCACGACGTAAACGCGGGTTTCAAAAGCACCTTCAACGCCGGGGTAGTCGTCCACGAACTCAATATATTGTTCTCCGTGGAGAATCTATGTACAAAATAAATAATTTTTAATTTAAACATTGAACTGCATGTCGCAAAACAGAAATGTTAGAGCAAATCAAACGGCAGATACAGTTGGGTTAAAGAATTTTAACCTCCGTGGACAAAGTATCATTCCTGTGAGTATATTTTTAGATAGTCACAACATCTCTTAAAATACATTTGATTTAGACATAATAATTGTTTTAATTAAATAGATAAATAATATTTGTATCTAAATAAGCAGAACATACATTTTATCATGTTTCATTTAGTTATAAGACATTTCTATTCATTACAACCATTTTTTTTTTATACTACTTAGAATGGCAAACAAGCTGACGGCCCACCTGATGGAAAGTGGTAACCGTCGCCTATAGACATGAGCAGTACCATGGACATAACAGAGTATACTGTTTCGCCCATGATACCTCCCATACATTGCCATTCCTGAGGACTCAGGTGTTATTCCTCTGTACCCAGTAAATTCACGGCATATCCCACCTTTCAAACCGAAACACAGCCATACAAGCAAAACTGCTTCACGGTTGAAACACGAATGGGACAGAGGTACCCAAGCAATCGACTTTTGTACAAAGTCTCCCTCTTGTGATTTTGTTTTAGAGCCTTACCATAAAAACAAGCATTTAAGTTAGTACGGAAGATACAACAAATTTTGATCTTGTTCAACCTATGATCTTTGAAAGAAATATTTAATTTCTTTGGCAGAAATTATTATAAGGGTTTCAATTCCATTTTTTCTGCCTACCCTTATGGAGAAAGACGTAATAGATACGAATGTATATATGTTTCTATGGTGTCAATTTCACACTATACAGATTATTTGTAATGAAAATACTTACGTTGGTAAAGTCCGCTACTTTTCCGGGGGGCATGGCCTCAGGCACCACTGGGGCTTCCATGCACATACCGCCCAGAATGAAGAAGCTTGGCAGGACTGAGAAGTTTTCATCAGCCTCGTATAAGTATTTCAAATCGCTGGAATTCGCCACAGATGCACCGACTGCAAAAATGTATACAATATGATAGAGTCACGAATTTTAATGGACAGCATTTAGATTCTTCTTCCGTAAATACATTTTTAATAATAAGCATACAGCAAGAGCTATAATAGAAAACGAGCTATATAACGCAATAAACGTGCGTAATTCTAAACAATAGTTGAGAAATAGGGTAATACAAGGATGTGAACTACATGATTAAAATCAAACGTGATTATTCCTTTATTAATTCACCTACAAGCGAATGCGGGCAAGAAACACATTAAGATGAAAAAAAAGTTAGTCATTCCAATCGCGCTCCATTTTGCACTTAAATTCGTATACAAACGAGAGAAACTTGCAAAACAATAAGTAAGGTGTACATTAAAAATCATAATTATTCTGAATGACTTTCTTAGAATGATATTAGCATCTATACACAAGTAAATAATTGTGCCGAAATAAACGACTTCCATAATAAACACCTACGAACGACGAGACGTTTTGTAGATACCCTACAAAGACATTTTTCGTAAATAACCTACATTACAAATATTCTACGTTTACGTATAGATTTTGAGTCGCAAGAAACAGTTTCCACACAAAATTAAAACGAAACCAACCTAATAAACTGGGTGGAAGGGATTGTCAATAATGGAGACTCCCAATCCCATTGCTAGCAATATCGAATCGACTTCCACGCAGCCCCCACTAGAAGCCATCGCGCTTAATTCCAGTTGAAATCATCATTCATCCTCACCTATCATCCCTCTCTGATATACCGCCAGCGTATATCATTAGAGCGTGTGAGATTACCATTCTTATCACCTATGGAAAAAATACAAGTATACCCAAATACATTCCAAAGAAAATTGTTAAGTTCAGAATTGACGACGTAATTAAGTAACATTGTTATAAATCAGACGAATTGAAAAGTTACTTTTAAAAGTCGCTTGAAAATATGTCTAAAAAGCGATTTAGATGCTATTAACATACAAATAGATCTTTGTCTTTGATTAATATGTAAGTACATAAAAAATCTAAATGTAAAATTGTAACCGTATCATTTAATCAATTTATTAAATGCCTAAGTCTAATTAGTGTATCCGGCAGTGAATTCCTGCAGATATCTGTTTCTAATTAAAGATAATGTAATTGATATCGAAATTTACCAACATTTACCTTGAACTCAATATATTGGAATTAAATTAATTTAATGAATTTGAAACAAATTTAGAAAAGAATCAAACATCTTTTCGGAAAAGAATTTTGTGAAAAATGAGAATGTGAAAAACTTGTTTACTAGCTCGTAGAAATAGTAAAGTAGTCGATAAAGATCCGGCGTTAAATGTTCTTTCAATGATACTAAAATGTTGTCCAAAAAGTCCACTGTAAAATAAAACGGTATACTGTATACCATTATATTTTATTGTATAAATTATCATTTGGTCTGTTTGTAAAAGCGGACTATATCAGCCTCGCTGGGGATATTGGGACAGACTGTCTGAAAGCGGAACTATCCCGCCCGAAGCGGAACGTATGGTCACGTTAGATATCCAATATAAAAATGTACAGGCAAATTTTTGGGTCTAACAGGGTCATGAATCTTCTGTAATTATTTTCTAACATTCTTAAATAATAAGATTGCAAATTTTTATATTTATTTAAATCAAGCAAGATTTATTAATAAAAACACATATCAACAGAAATCACTTACCGAATCTTATATCGTATTATCTAATCTAATTATTTATTCAATCTTATTAGGAAATTTAACTATGTTAATTACTCAAGGTCGCTTGATTTATTATTAAAATTAATATTAAAAATACAATCATACTTCTATTAATACCTATAAAAACAAATCAATAATTGCCTTCTTAGATATACTAGCTTTGAAATGTAGCTTTATTATATATATTTTTTTAATACAACTTAGAATGTCAATCATGCTGACTCGTAACTTAAATAATGTGATCACCATTGATTTTAGACTATAAAGGCATCATGAACATCACAAATTGGGGGAAAGGGATTGTTAGTAATAGAGACTGAGAATCCCATTGCTAGCAATATACCCAACCAGGTCAACCTCCACGCGGTTTCCCTTGGAAACTATCATGGGTAATTTCAAATGAATTCATCATGATGGGCTAACTGGCCTGTTTTCATTCTCATTGATCACCCTTCACTGGTGCCCCGCCAGCGTATACCGTTAGCGCAGGCGAGCCTGCCATTCCATTTTCACCCATCAAAAAAAAAAACATCACAAATTACACTATAATTAATTAGATACAATGAAATTTGATTTATTATATAACTAGTTGACTCGGCGTTTTTTATTATTGGAATAAAAACTATCCTATCTCTTAAATTGGAACCAACAATACACATTTACAAAATTTCATTAAAATCAGTTATGAAGATTAGAGTGAACAAACATCGTAAAATGTGATTCTCAACCGACTTTAAAAAGAAGGAGGTTCTCAAATCGATTGTATTGTTTTATGTTTACTACCTTATAATCATATTAGTATCATCAGTGGTAAACTTGATTTTTTTTATCTGAAAGATATACTTAATAGTTGGTACCATAAAAATTTTATTAAATTCATATATATTAAGATATATTTTACCTCCAAGAGCATACAAGACAGCATCTTTGGCATTGTAATCGAATGTGGACCAGAAGGATTTGCGTCCATTCGCGTCCAATTTCGCGCGATCTTCAAATTCCTACAACAAAATACAACGTTTACGATTGGATGGAAGTGAAATTACAAAACATTTACATAATAAGATACATGATTAATAGATGAATCCTTTAAACTATGCTTTCAACTTCGAGTTCTCAGAAAATCTGATGTTCCCAAAATATAAAAAGAAGCGTTTAAAATATAAGCATAAAATTCTTTCTGGGGACTTCAAGTTATCTGAAGACTGGTAACCAAAAAAGTTCACCGTTTCATCAGTGTCATATATAAGAAAATAACTACTTTTAATATCATTTTGGTAGCTTAATGCTTTTTTGTGTGTGTTTTTATGAAGTTATATATTAAATGAATTCTAATAAAATTTGATATATTCTTGCAGTTAATATTAATAGATTTAAAATTTATTAAATTTTCAAATAAATTATGCGAAAACTGGAAAATTCTAGTATTATTTGTAATAACTAAATCTCAAATAGAAAAATACATATTAGTGTGTTTGCAAAAAATACGTGCTGATCAAGCAGTTTGACCATTTATAGTCTATTATAATTTATAACTGTATTTATTTATGCATTTGTTGTATGTAATCATACATGTGTGCATATAACTGAATAACTCTTTAATAAGAGACATTATGCTATTTAATGATAAATCAATAAATACCTGCAATCTTTCTACTAAGTTGATGGTGACATTTGCTATTGGAGAGACGTGCTTTGCATTCGTCATGTCCACCACTTTCGGCCATTTTTCCTTGACAGACTCTATGGTCACTGGGTCCGATGGTGTATTTCTATTTCCACAGAAAATAATAGATATATAATTATGCGATCATTGACGTGTATGATGACCTTCACCTCTCTGTACGTAGATAGAACTTATCTCGAACGGTTATTACAATAAAATTTTATTAAAGAGACAAACGGACAAAATAAATAAGACAGTGTGTAAATATTATTCATAATTATCAGAAACATTAGGCTTCATGTTTTGAGATTATAACATAACATGAAATTTTGTATTAAATAATAATAAGTTTGATACTGAAATTGCATTTCAAATAATTTGTTTATTATATATTCATGTCTTCATGGCTGAAAACTTTAAACATTTAAGATAAATAAACAGAACATTGTAATAAGGAAAGTGAGAAAAGAAAATATTTAATTATCAATATTTAAATTATAGATTATAGTACTGTTATATAAAAAAAAAACATACCTGAGAGGACTGCCGACAGATCTCACTAACTGAGCTTTGTGTGCATATCCTAATGTGGAATCAATAATTTGACCAGTACCCTCGAATGACTCGTGGGCCATGTATGCCTACAATTAAATGTATTATTTAATTTATATACATTCAGGAGTATTTATCTATAATAATACTATAAAGAGGAAATATTTTATTGATTGTTTGTAATGAATAAACTAAAATACTACTCTATCAATTAAAAAAAAGTCTTGTAGAAAGTTACAATATAATCAGCGAGTAACAGGATATATGTTGTTGAAAATTCTATTTACCCGTGCGAAGCTGGAACGAATCGTTAATTTATTTTATACAACTAGATATACAAACATCTGAATGAAAAAGCAAATATTATACCAATAAGACTTAGGATACGGGGATTTTGAACCTAAATAATGCATAACATCTGCGCTATATACAAATAATGTATAAATAAATATTAAGAAATCCCTCAACAAATTCAAGTAATGTAAAAAATATTAAAAATAATACTTACAACAACGGGAGCAATCAATTCTGGCTTCATCGCCTCGAACATATCTGGGGGGAGGATGCCTTCAGTGAGACGAGACGCAGCTGTCGGCACAATCGTGTTTATTTTGATGTTGTATTTTGCGCCCTCCAACGCTAATGTGTTCATGAATCCAACTAGACCCATCTTGGCCGTGCTAAATGGAAACAATAAATTTATTATTAACAATAAAATATCTTACGCATTTCTAGTTATTTTTGAGACGGTTGTATAAAGATTCAAAAAGTTTTTTAAAAATGGTCGTTGAAAGCTCTAATGAATCTGTGTTTTAGTCATTTCTTAGCTGTAAGGAAAGACAAAATGAGACTTAACTAGCTGTTATAAATTATTATAAACAAAATTATATTACTGAAATATTTCAAATGTGAAATTTCCACCACATGTTTCCGCCGAGTTAATGAATAGACAGTAATTGATATATTTAGTTACATTATTCTAAACACGTGTATACTATAGACATGAGAAACTCTGCAGTGAACATTATAAAATCTTACCTATAATTAGCCTGGCCAAAGTTTCCAACCAAACCAGCATTGCTGGAGGTCATAATAACACGTCCGAAGTTTTGTTTCTTGAACGTCTCCCATGCTGCTAGTGTTGGCTTGAATGAACCTTTTAGATGCACCGCTTGGATCAGGTCCCAGTCCTAATTAACAAATTATAACTAATATTATAAATGTGAAAGTTTTTAAAGATATATATTACACGATCACGTTTGAATAGATGAATGGACTTAAACTTAAATTTGATACATAGGTAGGCTATATCAGAACTTAACATAAAGGCTACCTTATATACTGATTCACGAGGACAAAGCCGTGAGAAACGATTAGTTTTAATTAATTAAAACACTGTTGTTTTTATCTACAAAGGTCTGTGTGGATGTCTGATGGTAAACGAAACATAAATCACCTCATACTAATACAATATTATTGCGATTTTTTGTACAACTAAATTGTAGAAATGAAATATCATTTAAAGAAATTCTAATATATTTATTCTACATCGATTTAATTGCAATTAATAATTGCAAGGGAAGTCAAGTTATAAATTTATCTTAATTTGCCAACACAACTGTGATATAAATTAGTAATTGATAAGTGTTTTAAGCGTAATGTAAATATTTAAGATACATAAATGTAGGGTAAATCTGTGGGGTCTATTCTGAGGTGGTATTTCTCTGAACCTAGGTAGGTATAACTGTTTAGGATATCTACAATACGATAAGTACCTAGACTCATTGAGGAATAATTTAAAAAAAATTATAATATTGCATTAAAATATTATTCACTAACTTAGGTTATCATAATTCATAACTTCGTTTCTAGTGCACACTAATGTCGTAGGGGTCAAATTAGCTCCATTACAAGAATCATACTAATTTTTTGTCGTTTTTACCCATATTTCTATGGTAAAAATATTATATTAAATATTATTAACATTATAAATACGAAAGTTTATAATGTAGAAAAATGGATGGATGTTTGTTATTTAAAGAGTAACGCAAAAACTACCGAACGGAATTGAATGAAATTTGGTATTCGGATAGATTATAACCTAGCTTAAATACATACTTTAAGCACTAATTCTCGCCGGCAATGCCGCTGAAACAGCTAATATTATAAATAGTTTCAAATCAGTGCTCATATCAGAACACTACCTTCAAAGGATGTCTAAAATTTAAATTTCACCTGATAGTTTGACGCACAAAAATATACGCTAAAAACTCTCTCGCTATTAAACGGCTGTTAATTAGAATTAACATTTCAACAACATTATTAAATACCATATCATATATAATATTAATGTTAAAAGATTAAAAAAAAATTGCTATGCACTGATAAATAATAATTATCAGTGATAAATTAATCAGTGTATCAATATGTGATTATCTTTCTATATGGAACCATATCTATCATTGAACCACTTCACCACAGAGATAATACAATTATTATTCACAGATTTAAATAGATTCAGCGACTAAAGTATAACCAAGAGACTATTGGCTCTGACTCAATTTCGATTATGTGAAAACTCAATATTAAAATTAAATCAATAGGTTCAACAAAATATATCAATAAAAAAATAGAGACGTAATAAATAACGATACACTGGAAAGGGCCTGTCACTATAATATGTATGTAACTAAAATGCAAATTAGTAGGACAGCTTGACGGTCGCATCAAACTTCATCACACAAGGTTGTTTAACATTTCTATCCGATTCAAAATTATTATGAGTCTACAGGTACTATACATAGTGTAAAATGTGCGTGTTGAAACCCCGCTCGTTACGAAATTTTTACGCTTACACATTTATTATTTGTATGAGATTTATATATTTAGTAACACTGCTACATTACTGTAACTATTCAATATATTTATGTATATTTAAATAAGTAACAACACATATACTCGTACTTGACACTGAGTTTAATATTTATACACAAGTAAATCATATTCAAATTTTATTTTAACTTTTTGACTGAATTTATATTAGATTAAAAAAAAATATGACTGCAATTAAAATGTTACCATCATATTTGTTTGTCAATAAGTACATGATCGTGTTATGAAAGCAAACAAAAAATACCGCATATCAATTTATACCCATCAATAATGTACAATATTATACAAAATAAAAAAAAGCATTAGATAAACGATACCATTTAAATTATAACATTACAGTGGAAATATGCATAGTGACTCGAGTCGACAATCGTCATAGGTCATATTGGGTCAATTGTGAGGTGAGGTGGGGTGCGCGACGGGCGATTACCGAACATACATAGTGCATTTAGATAACTTAAGCACAATAATACTAGAAACAAAATATTCGTTCCCAGCTCCTTGTATTGATTTCGTGATTATTTTTTTTAACATGAACAAGCTAGGAACATTTTTTAACAAATGTTGATTTTTTTTCATTCCCACCTTAACGACTCTACTATGTTCTGTTGGTAAAAGATTGGGATTAGTAATTGGGAGAGCGATCCCTTTGCTAATTATCATTTCATGTCTACCTCCGCGAAGTCCTGGTTTCAAATCACTATGTTTAATTCTTGGTCTATTCATCAAAATAGATCAGCTAGGTGGCTTCGTCCTCACCCATATTTTTTTATTAAAAAAGAAAAATTATTTTTATTTATAAGAAAGCTACGTTCAGTTGCTGAACCGAAATTATGAAATTTAGAGATAGAACATGTTTTCACGACCCAATCGCTGTCACTGCATCGAGCATCGATTGCAGCAATCACAGTTAAAGTATAAATGTATGTAAGCGGATTAGGTATATTATGTACGTTTAGACACAAAATCGAAATTAAAAAAAAAAAAAACAATTAAATCACAATCGATTATTGGTTAAAAGTAAATGTCTTTTTATTCTATAACTCAAAAAAGTATTCCCTCAGTGCTAAACTGAACAGTTCTCAGGGTCCATTAATTATTCTGTAAGTCGTTCTTTCAGTTCAAACCTTCCATATACTATGATCTAGTTCTTATTGTTGTGTACACTTTATTTTAATTTAATTCCACTTTAAAACACATCCAGGAGTCGAAGTACCATGGCATAAATCAAAATGACATTTAGTAAAAAAAATTGTCCTAAAACTAAGTACTCAAACTGACCCCAGTTTATAGCAGTACCAGTCCAAAGCCACAAGGATTTTATACCAATAAAAAAATCTCTTAATGGAAATACTCAAATTTGCAAGATTTATTCCATCTTTTGTTCCGAGACGATATATTAACTTTGGATAAAACTATCATTGACGGTTCGATTTATCGAACGATTGGACGATAATTTGTAAATTCGATATTTTTATCACTCCATAAAATCAGTTTCGATCATATAATGTTTAATGTATTGCTTATTCAATTCGATATGCGTTTCAATATTCGTAGTGAACTCTGTGTAGTGTGTTAAATCTTTACAATTATTGTAAACATGAACGTGAAAAAGAATGTAGGCATATTCCCGGTTTTATCCAGACTTAGACCGCTCAGTAAACATATCACGGTCAGGCAGACAAAAACATGGGTAAAAGATATTACTTAACAAATGTATCCGTTTTGTATAAATGTCGACACTATAAATAAATAACTACATATAGTACCTTGTCATGTGGTCCCGGCATAGAATAGACCACTCCTTCCTTCCCCGTGGGTGTTATAAAAGGCGACTAAGGGAGGGCGAGGGATGGGCAACAGCATCTCTCTTAAAACATCTCTAAAGCTTAACTGCGGTTGCCAATTCGCCTGCCAAGCGTGGCAACTACTGGCAAAACATCCCAAGGGGGAGCCCTTGGGATGTTTATTCCCGTTCAGCAGTGGACAGTTAAAGCCTGACATAATGATGATGATGATGATGATATAGTACCTGATCTGACATCTTCTGGAAGGATCTATCACGAAGAATGCCGGCATTGTTAATAAGAATGTCGACGCGGCCAAAATTGTCCAGAGCTGTTTTTATAATCTTTTCTCCTTCAATCACATTGTTGTAATCAGCGACGGCAATACCACCTGGTGAATAATACATTTTTATTATAATGAGTGAAAAAATATTTAATTATAATCACTACATTTTCATATATTGACAATAACATTTTTACTGCTTAGTAAAAAAAACAATAGGAACCCATTGTAAAATTACCCTCCCTATCCCTAAACTTCATCACTAAAAGTAAAATTTCTGTTTAATACTTATTACATGGAAACTTTGTTTGCACTTCAAATTCTTCAAATACATAAATTTTGGTAAACCTAACAGTAACAGTAACACATTAAAAAAATATTATAACACAAATACCTACTAATGTAATGCCAATTATACTAGATGAACACAACATTGAAACATTATCATTGAACAAGAGAAAAAAGAAAATACTGTGATAATGTTTTAACCATTTGATAACGCCACAAGAGTGCAAAAACGTAGCCTTATTGCTACAATATTTTGAACTATGTAAACAAAACTATATAAAATATTTGCAAGTAATTGTTTCCCTGCCCGACGTGGCCCTGAACCCTGACACAAAATTGTATAAGTGACACTTTAAACACCTGATACAGAAACAATCACTACTTTTGTCACTTTAGTACCTATTGTTAGTTATTGTGGTAAAGTCCACTATGTTAATTGAAGTCAAATAGTAATAATTATGTTAATTCTAAAACTCATTTAAATAGATAGGTATTACTTCTTATAAGTTTTTCTTTTAATGATAAAATAATGTATCATAAAGATCAAGGTACTATAACAGCAAAGAAAATAAGAGTAATATTTCAAGTAAGGTCAGATAAATGCATAATTTTACAAGTATATGCTCAATTTAAATTATGAATACATAATGTATAATGACAACTTACATATGTATAATTACATACTTACATATGTAAACATACGCTTAAGCCTTAACATGATAAAATTATTGTTTTGTCTCTCTTTTCTTACATAGTTATAATAAAAATTTATTATCAACATATATTGTTTTAATGGAGATGGTTTCTTTTATGATACTTAGAATCCTTAAACTTAGAAGCTCACTTAATGGAAGGAGAGAGAGGGAGATTTTCTACAAAAGTCTTGGGCAAAGTTTTCTACAAATTTGCTTGGGCACCTCTGTCCTACTTGTGTTTCTTCTGTGAAGCAGTTAAGTTTGCATGGCTGTGTTTTGGTTTGAAGAGTGGGATATAGCAGTGAATTTACGGGGTACAGAGGAATAACACTTGAGTCCTCAGGAATAGCAATGCATAGGGGGTATTATGGGCAAAACAGTATACTTTATTATTTCCATGGTACTGTTTGTGTCTATAGGTGATGATTACCATTTTCTATTATGTGGACCATCAGCTTCTTTGCCATTCTAAGTTGCATAAAAAAAAAAGAAAGTGGTAAGCATGCACCTATTAAGATAAACAACATTCTAGACATTACAGATTACACTGTGGTACATAGAATATTCTCAGGTGTTGCTATTCCTGATGACTACGGTGCCATGCTTCTATACCCTATAATTTCATAGTCATATCCCATCAAAACAAAACATAGCCATGCAAACACTTCATGGTCAAATATGAAAGTGAAAATGATATTCTTGTTACAAGGTTGTGATTTTTGTTACAATATCTCCCTATGGGGAATAGTAACCCTTATAATAATTCTTCCAATATCAAATCTGTGCTTAAAGAAATACATCTTTGTAGATAAAGAAAAGGGCAAAATACAAGGAGCATGCAGTTTTATTATTTTATTGTAACATTGTTTGTTATGTATGTATATTATTACACACACACATACACAGGTATTATTACCATTGATAAAAATTCAAGTACCTAAGTAAGTAAGTAGTAAAAGGGTAAAACTAATGAATAGCAAATTGACAAGATCAAAAGTTACACAATGACTGAAATATATTATTAACAAAAAATGTGCATAGAGAAAAATACAAGTAGTCATTCATATATTGTGTATCAATATATAAATTCATTTGTATTAATTTCATGGTATAATCTATTTTATATGCTTAGTACAATTTATACATAATAGTTTCATATTAATAATTTGATTTTTACACATAAAAATAAACAAATGGTTAAATTTAAAATGTTTTCCTTATTCATTTTAATTAATTATTATATATTATAACTTTTGTCTATTTAATTTTTACATTACCGAGTATTATAAAAAGATATAAGATTATTTATTATTTATACCAAATATAGAAAATTCACAAATAAAGTTTTAGAAAATATTTTTTCAAACCAAAAAAGTTAAATAACAATAAAGTAACATTTTTAGAAATTTTAATTTAAATTTTTAATTAAGTAAATAGGAGTTTGTCAAATGAAGGTATAGCATTACATACATATATATGTATGTATATATGCATATAAGAAATATTGTCATGAAAATTGGGACTATTTTTAAATATTCTATGAACCTATTAGTAAAACAAATTTTAATTTGATACCACAACCAAATTATTATTATAAAACTAAGTATAAACAATAGATTTCACTCAAAACTAGGAATATAAAATTCTTATTTTGATATACTGCCTTATTACAGAAAATTTATAGAATAATATTATGTAAACCTGCAGCAATAATAAGGTTGCCTTTTAGCACTTACAAAAATTATCTATAATATTATTATTATTATTACTGTTATTTTACCTAAATGTATGTGTAGTACAAATATAAAACATTTGCCCTTAAAAGTATCCACTGAAGTATTAATTAAATATCAAAAAATTTATTTAGAATAAAAGGTCCTACAAAAGGAACATAATATCACTGTCAGTACTGATATATCACTTAGTATTTTGTATAAAGTATATTTTGTATATATAAAGTATACTAACCTTTATCTTTAATTTCTTTAACGACGGCATCTGCGAAGGTAGATTTGCCGGCGCCATCTTTTCCTCCTCCGAGATCATTTACTACAACTTTGGCTCCTCTTGATCCCAACAAGAGAGCATAAGCTTTCCCTAAGCCGCCGCCGGCGCCTGTGACTACAGCTACACGACCGTCGAAGCGCAGTTGGTCCATTCTTGTCAAGATTCGAAAACAGAATGATTATTACAACAAACAACTCAAACGTTCGAATCACTGAACGCAATATTCGAACAGTTGATAAAGGCAACGAATCAAAGTCCACAATTGAAAGTACTGATACTGATATCATAAACTCGATAGAAAGAAAATAATATTAAAATTGTACAATCATGCAACAGGTAGGTATTTAATCAGTGTAAATTCTAGATAGATGTATAATGTTGATTCTAGTTCTTGTTAGAATACGTATTAACTTACATTCCACGTTCAATTTGTCGGATAGACAACTTGAAGTTATGAATATTTACGACTTTAAGATAATTAGTATGACCTGAGTTATGATAAATTACAAAACAACTGATATTCACAAAAAAATAGATAAATTTCAAGTACAGTCAAACTATAAGTAGGTATCTAACTAAATAAAATAGGTACTTAAGTAGTAAATAGACAGTTTAATGTTTGACGGTCTTACATTTAACACACATGACACAGTGTCACGTCAACAGTGACATTTTTCAGAATACATAGACTAAGAATAACACCTGCGGTTCTTTATCTACGACAGTAGGGAATACAGTCGGGTGAGTTACTAGCAATATGCCGAACCAAGTTCACCTTCACGTAGTCCCCCTTGGGAACCATCATGCTAAATTCCAGGTGTATTCATCACGATGGGCTAACTGACCTATCTTTCTATTCTTACCTACCAGAGGGAGACTTTGTACAAAAGTCGATTGCTTGGGTACCTCTGTCCCATTCGTATTTCAACCATGAAGCAGTTGTGTTTACATGGCTGTGTTTCGGTTTGAAGGGTGGGATATGGCGTGAATTTACTGGGTACAGAGGAATAACATCTGAGTCCTCAGGAATGTTACTCTGTTATGTCCATGGTATTGCTTATGTCTATAAGCGACGGTTACCACTTTCCATCAGGTGGGCCGTCAGCTTGTTTGCCATTCTAAGTAGAGATGGGCAATCCACCTGGGTGGGTTTAAAGTCTGGTGGGTAAAAACCGGGTGTTTTGGGTTTATTGGGTTTAAACCCCATAAACACCCAAATTTTTGGGTGTTTATGATTTTGTACTTCATCATCGTCATCTCAGCCGCAAGACGTCCACTATACTGGACATAGACAATATTATTATGCAGCCTACAGAATAAAAAACTTTTAATTTGATTTTGAGTTTATTAAGAAAGAGATGAAAGTAAAATGTAAAACTACAGTCAATCACTGTCAGATTCAGAGTTATTACAAGCGATGAATTGTATAGGTTCGATAGGCTCTATTTCGTCTAAACTGTTATGTTCATTTACTTGCTCAATGAAAGCTTCTAAGGTATTTTCTTCATTAAACTGAATGTCCTCGCATTCAGCTTTATGTTTAAGATTCCAGTTATAACAAATGAATGAAATTTTTTCAGTTCTTTCAGTTGTAAGTCGATTTCTTTTGTTATTATGTATGTAGCCTTGGATACTAAAGGAACGCTCAGTGGCTGCCGAAGTACAGGGAGCTGATAGAATACGAATCGCTACTTTGCTTAACTCAGTGGAACCACAAATACCTTTCCACCATATTAGGGGCTCAATGCTATCTAATGAGCTCCATACAAATCCTCTGGCCCAAAAGTTTTCTTTAGCTTTATAACACGCCAAATCTGCCATTACATTTGACAAACTTAAGTGTTGGCTTAAATTGTAGATAAACTCCATACCCTTAAGTTCTTCCTCTTGAGTAAGTTCGACTCCTAGAGTCCTGGGGTCTAGAATATATGCTGCAAAATGTATTGGCCTCATTGCCATATTGCATCTTGAAGATACTGATGTTAGAATCTGCTGTTTGCTTTCTTCGCTCAATGTCGAAATCTCATTTAATGCAAAACGTATCTTAGCTTGTACATCTCTAAATGTAATGTATGTGCGATGCAAACGATTCTGGTCGCTCTCTAAGTAAAATATGCTTTCAGTGACTGGTTCCAAAATACTTATACATTCCCCTGTCTTCGTCCAGAAATCATCACTTAGAATTAAATCTTTAATATCTCTTGAAATTACCACATCTTCTCTAACTGTTAATATTTGCAAAGCTATCTTATTTGCTTTCAAACTTTTTAACGAAGTAACATGACTTCCCCATCTTGTAGCACAAGGCAATTTTAGTGTTTGTGTAGAATCTTCACCCTGCCTTGATTTTATCAACAAGGAACTTAATCGTTGACTCCTTTTAACAGTTTTTATTATATTTATGGCTTGCATAATAAACACAGTTACTTCTTGTATCTTTACAATATCTTGGCACAACAAGTTAAGGATATGTGCACAGCAACCGAGAGGAACAACATGTGGATATTTGAGTTTTGTTAATTCGAATGCCTTTTGTATATTTCTAGCGTTATCGCCAATAAGTACAAGAAACTTATTTGCTCCATACACTTTCATTACTTTTTCAACTTCTTGGCTAAGGTATTCACTAGTGTGAGGATTACTTTCTGTATTCAAACTTTTAACGTATGCAGGTTGAGGTTTTGATATAAGAAAGTTTATTATTCCTTCATTTCTTAAATTAGACCAGCCATCGCACTGAAGGTGTAAGTAACTACAAGCATTTAGTTCCTCATTTAACTCAAAACGCATTTCTCTATATATTTTATCTAAGTATTTTGTCGCTAAAGCTTTACGTGAAGGTATTTTAAATTTTGGTTGCAATTTTTCGAAAAATTGTATCCATAAAGGATGTTGCACCATCGATAATGGCGTCCCTGTTACAAATATAGCTCTCGCTAATTCTGTTTTTATATGATCATCGGTGTCTTGAAACTCAGCATTTATTGTAGTGTTAGCAGACGACGAGGGGCTTATAAAAGAATCATTTGTCTCTATCTCTGACAGTCCAGACATTTTGGTTTTGGACGAGCTATCTTTTATAAGTTTCATAGAGTCTTTTAATGTTTCTGGAGATTTTGGACAAGTGATAAGATGTTGAAGCATTTTGGCAGCATTACTGAATTTGTAGACCTTATTACAAAGCTTGCAAGAAACAGACTTGTTTGGTAAAGTACGGTAGTGCTCCCATATGCGTAAATCTTTAGGTCTCCCCATTGAACCTAAAAAAATGAACGATGATTAGTTGGTCTGACGAAAATTCAACAATAGAGTGCCTATTTTTTTACAATGATTATTTCTTGTTATTTACAATAAATTTAATAAAAAAAAAATAAAATAAATACAAAAAACCTTTGTAAAATTACATCTCCTCGGAGGATTAAACGCAGACGCTAGTTTATTATCGTATTGTTCTGTATTTTTCTCAGCAACTTCTTTAATTCGATTAGGTACTTACGCATATTATGTTAAAAATAAATATCTAGTACACATCTTAGGCTATCCACCATTATTATCCAATGACGACTCTCAGCTAACTATGCACTATCATCCAAAATAAACGTGTATGGAAAATTTTATCCCAGTCGGTTGAGGATTGAGGATAATTGCATCAACATACGAACATACCTACATACTTTTATTTACATAACGCAAGCTAAATAAAAGCTTGTAATAATACATCTAATTTTAAGTTAAAATTGTTAAGTGATCATGATATAATTGTATCATTCAAAAATCCACTTACCTTTAATTATTTCTTGTTAAGTATAAATATTATTTCAAATCTGCTCCCTTAATATGCACTTTTTTACTGCTTTTCCTACCTAACACGTTACCAGGAAGTCACGTTACCAGAGTCAGAGTAATAGTGAACACGTTTGACAGTGATTGTCGTCGCCTCATATTCAGCGTCGACGAATAGGGGAATCCCCAGTCATAATGTATTGCATGCGTGGCGGTCTTACTTCAAATCCATAAACAAAGAGATAATTACAGAACTCGATACTAGATGGCGCTGTTTTTGTTTGAAGAAAGTTTGCGGGCTAAAATACATAGAATTTCATCAATGACTTCCACAAAGAACAACATTTCTGTTTTTTCTAAGTCCGTATCTCTTCCGTATATTTCATAAGATATAAGCTTGGGCTACATTGTTATGCAACGTGATTTTGTCGCTGTCTTGCTAGCAGGGTTGACAGATATACGATTTAAATCGTACTCATACTATTATTTGTCTATTTTTTAATGTACGATCGTAAAGATTATGATCGTAATTCGCACAAAAACATACGACTTTTTGGTTACCTGGCAACATTTTTATTATGAAACGAACATGCTCACATCATCAGTCACATGCAACAATTTATTGGGGATTTCCCCTTCACATCTGGCAGTCCTGCTTGCTAGAATATAGGTAAGTCAGCCACAGTTACTGACGATCGATATTTAAAGGGTATTGTTTTTGTGCTAAATATTTCATAAAAACGTTATTTAATACTTTGTGGATTATTAATTTAGTTGATAATCACTGGAAGTAAAATGGATGCTAATTTGAGAGATCAAGATCTTCGTATAAAACAGTTAATAAAAGAAAATCTACGTAAGTACTCTTTTTATACCTAGGTAGGTAAGGTATAATAAACACAAAAGGTACTTAGATCGCGTGTGTTCGAAGCATTTATTCTAATAAATTTAATTTAAAATTGTAGAAAGAAAAAAATGTCTGCCAAGCCGTAGCCGAAGCCGATCTCCAAATATATTTGGCGATAGTGAGACCCAGTGTCCAGATGATTTACCCAGCGTCGTCGCAACAAAGAAAAAAACGAGGATAAAGTAAAAGAAAATTTACTGAAAGAAGAAACAAACTGTTCTAAATGCTTAATTTATGGAGAAGAGGATAAAAGAAATGAGTATTTCGGACTGTTAGTGGCTCAAGAATTTAAATATATACGGCCATGTGTGCGAACGAGGTGTTATGAAGAAATTTTAAAGTATCTACGGGAAGCAAAAGGCCAACATGTTGATCAACTGCAACATGAAAACACTGAAAATTAATTACTTTCATTTTATTATATATAGATTTTTAAAATTTCCTGAAATTATTAGTTAACGTTTTATTTAATATTGTAGAATTGATCAATACAATTTATAAAAATAATTTATTGGTATTACTTACATATTTTCAAAAAAATACGTAAAAACCTATTTTTTTGGGTGATTATGGGAGTTTATGGGTGTTTATTGGGTTTTTACCAAAGCACCGGGTTTAAACCCGGTGCTTTGCCCATCTGTAATTCTAAGTTGTATAAAAAAAAATCTATCATCAGTCACTGGGCCCCGGCAGTGTATACCGACAGCGCAGATAAGGATATTATTCCATCATCACCCATAAAAAAAAGTACTCCTATTACAAATTCAAAAGTAACCCTTATTCGTAATTATAATAAATGGTGTTTTTATACAAATAGGTACTTCGATTTTGTAAAATAGGTCAACTTTTTCATAGTTGTGTATGTGACAAAGTTACCAGAATAGAAATTAATATTTAGATTAAGGTAAATAGTTGATGGTCGTAACTGAACTTTATTTATATATTTAATTACAGTATTTATTTATTAAGAATAAAGTGTAGATAAAGTTCATAAATTTCTATATTTCAAAATTACTAACATTTTTAAATGAAGGTTAAAAATCGTTATTTGTGGATACATATGTCTAAAAATCTTTATTGTACATAACTCAGATTAAATACTAGTAAATGATTTAATATCTATGCTGTAAATAAAATATGGACGGATAATGTTACTAAAAGTAACGGCCATATTGATTTGTATCGATTCTTTAACCGATTTCTTTGAATATGAATATCTCAGATTTTTTATAGATTTAACACCACATTTTTTTATTGATGTAAGAATTAACTGAATTGAGAAAAAAATTTTTTTTGGAAATACCTATGTATAAAAATGAAAAATATGAATTAAATAGTTGTAATTAAATTGACTTCATTTAAAAAATATTTAATTGTATTTTATCTGAACTTTAAATTTATTTTATTAATCTTTATCTAAATAAATAGTTTTATTACTTTAAATCAAAATGGCTGCCATTTTTATTTAAATTAATAAAAATTACACCACATTCAGTATTAAGGTAGACCAGGGCTAGGATTTTGGTTACCTACACTAGCTAATATTAGTCAGTTAGCAAGTTCAGTCAATGTTTATAGTATCTAAGACAAAAGGATAATCAGTCATTTTTTATTCAATTATTATTTTTTTACATTGACAAGTGCTGCTGGGATGCATATCGCCTGCCATTGAACTAAGGAGATTCTTAACAACAACTTTCCGAACTCTCCGGTATATTAAAAAAACGACTATTTAAAAGTGTTTGTAAACAAGTCTATTTGAATATAGATAATATGCAAAATTTTAATTTGTAAAAAAATATTTGCCGTTTAGGGAAAAATCAAAATTTACATCTGGCAACCTAGTTAACGTCATTCGCTTGGTTGAACTATAAACAAATTAATAACAGTTATTTTTTTTAAATTGCATTTTTGATTGATGCAAAGTTTTTTGATTATTTCACTCAACTTTTCGTATTAAATGATGTATGAATCATCGTATCGACCATTATAGTTTCCCTTATTGAATTAAAAACTTATTCATTTAGTTCTTGTTTAGTTAAATTTTTTATTTCCACCGTCAGCAATCACTTTTGTAATAATTTCGTTTTTATTGAAAACATTGTGATAGAAACGAATTTGAACATGAATCATTCCCTTGGAGATGTTTTGTCAAGTAAGTACTAAAACAGCTTCTTTTTGTATATAAATATTTATTGTTTATAATATTTTATTGTAGTATAAATATGAACAATAATGATTACATTTTATTACAGTAATATATAATGAGGGCCAATGGAGAATAAACAAAGTTTCGCCACTGTTTGATTTGCAGTATAATGTTGTTAAATTGAAACAATATGCATCTAAAATCCGTCAAAGCCTAGTGGCCTCTTTAGCAACAAATGCTTCAATTAAATATACAGTACAATTTGATGAGCAACCCTTTTTAAAGTATTGTGAAGAAGATCCCAGTGCTCTAGTAGTAAGTTCCTGTCTCTTCATGATATGAATAGACAATGAAAAGATAATGAATTTATTATAATTTTATATATGTTTTACTCCTTTAAATGTATGTAATAATAGTAATGTAATTGTTTCTGTAATATAAACATGAAATCATATTTGCAGTGATCATAGATACTACTTCAAATTAACTAAAATTACCATTAATTATTTTATTATTTATGTGGCTTTACTTGCTTTTAAATTAGAGGATACTTAATGAATTAACAACTTCAACCAATGGATTGATCCGGGAATCAAATCCATCACCTATAATGCAAGAACACAACTGCATAGTGCTATACAATCAGTCCCACTACAACTTTTGTCACCCCACTATAACAATTGCCACCCCTTTACAACTATAGCCACTGCTAACATCACATCTACTGTAGTATGCAGCACATATATATGTACTTTCAACACAACAAAATTACAAGTCTAGTTTTGTATAATTATATCATTCCCATTACAAAAATATTCAATTATAAATTCAAGAAAATAAGTTAGACTTGTATTTAAAAAGCTTTGTTTGCATCCCGGGGTTGCCACCCCCCACCCCACCCCCCTCCTCTCTAGATACACCTATGAAAATAATGATAAAGAACTGTTACAGTACTATTGAATGTCTTAATTAATTCTATATTTGAAATTCTTAATAATATCTAAAAAAATATTTATTTACAAAATTTTTAAATTGAACTTGCATGCTATTATTTTAGATTACAGTATCATCTGCACATGAAAATAGTGCAACAAATAAAGTAGCATATGTAGCAATCCTGTTGTCATGGGGTATGAGTTTCACTCTCGATTCAGCTACACATTTACCTTATTTAATTGAGCGAGGCGAGCAGAAAGTGGGAAATGCTGTGAAATCTACCTTACAGACCATTTTTGATTGTAATATAAGTCAATATGTTATCACACAGGTAAATAATAATGTAGCTAATTGAAAGTAATTTCTTGTGATGAATAAAATACAATGTCATTACTTTTCATTTCTTAGAAGAGACTAGGGGAACAAAGCACAATATGATAGTGCAAAAGGTGTAAAGATATATATTCTATATATACCTTTATACCTTTTGCGCTATCATATTGTGGCACTATCATATATTTCTAATGAAGCCCATACTAAGCTGTCTAGTCAGTGATTTTTTTCTATGCTACTAAATATTAAATTATATAAAACTTATTTTAAACCCTAGAAATTTTAGAATTATGCTGAAATATCCTATTAATATAATAAATGAAGGGTTTTTTTAAATTTCAGAACCAGCTATTACAGTTCTGCTTCAAATTCATTGATTGTGATACATCCCGCAGTTCAGATAATTTTACACTGGTCTACTACACACCACAAATAGATCATAAAGATCAGCTGAATCTAACATTTCAAATAGGCGATGTGCATGTCATTTGGAATGGGTAAACAGTTCATAATAATTTTAAGAATTTTCTACATTTCTATGTCTATTTATAAATAGTTAACACAAAAAACAGCCTCGAAATGGTAAATAGATTCACTTGATGAAAAGTGGTAGCGGACGCCCTATGATATGATTGTTTATGTGACGATGCAATCGCCATTAATATTGTAAAATACACTGTGACTTAAATTATATTCCTTATTCTTTGCCATTTCTGGGGACTTTCTTAATTAGGTATTTAATATTTATATAAATGTAAACTATACTCTAAATATAGATTTTTGTTACTCAATCACGCAAATGAATTTAAAAGAAGTGATTAGAGTAGTTTTTATCGTTATTCACGCAAGCAAAACTAAAGCCAGTAGATGAATAAAAGTTCTCAACATGAACTCTTGTATGAACCATTTTTTTTAATGTGTAATAATGGAATGATACCTCTTCTTGCGTTATTGAAATACGCTGGCGGGTCACCAGTAAGTGACGATAGGTGAAGATGTAGACAGCTCAGTTGACTCATTGTTATGAGATTAATCAGGATGGTTTCAGCGGAAACCGCGTGGAGGTCATCATGATAGGGTCGTGATTATTAGTAATGGAACTATTAGAACCGATTACTAAAAATCCTCTTCTCCTTTTTTCTTCCCGTGTGATCGTACTTTTTTTTTTAAATGGATGAAAATAGAATGATAACTCCGCCTGCATTATCGGTATACGCTGTTGGGGCACCAGTTAGAGATGATAGGTGAGGATAAAAGCAGGTTAGTTAACTCACAATTAATGTCCTTATAATTTTCAGAGTGAAACACTATAACAAGAACAGATCAGATTTAGTCAATATTGCATATCAAATGTTGTATAATCAAATATTTCATATGGTGGACTTAGATGTGAAGCTGCTTGATCTTTGCAAAGTGATATTACCAAAGGCGGAAATGCAAAATAACGGCACTTTTAAAATGAAGACTCCAGAGGCTGTTAACATTATGTTTGTTGTGTTGAATGAAATAACTTTTAATACTGCCAATGACACGAGTCATATGACATAAAGTAATTAAAATATTTATTTCTAGACTTTTGCATTGTGTGGTTTATGGTTTATCTAAGATGAGAATGAACGTGATCATTTAGGTAAACTATGATAATTTACCTGGGTTGTCTCGCCGTTTCAGTCAGGTTACATTGATCGTCATCACAAGTAGAAGGATGTACAGTTGCCATGCCTCGGCTTCGGAAACAGAACTATTTAGAAGTGGTTTATCATAGTTTACTTAAATAATCGCGTTTCTTTCCGTCTCTTATAAATTATAAGATTGTTTGAAAGGTACTCAAGGTTATGGAAAAGCATATTCCTTTTTTAGATGCACCTGCAATGCCTTTGATGTTGTGGGTGATCATGGGCGGCTCTAGTCACTTACTATCAGATGAGCCGCATGCTCGTTTGCTCCGTGTTGTTAAAAAAATAAGGTTGACACACAGGATGTAAGAGACACCCTCTAGATAACTGGTAAATAAATCTATTTATAGAGACGTTATCGCTACTGCTTGCATGAGATACGAGACCGCAACGTCCATTTTGTTTTTCTCAAGCATACATTAATGGAAATATTTCTACCTATAAATAGAGATCGTACATTTATCACTTGTCTAAGGGGGCAGTATAGGTCATTATTATAATGTTATATTTTTTTAAGACAAATATAGGGTATAATAAATAAAAAGTAATTTTCACGAACTATGTTTTCTTATAACGCCCGCCATTACTCGCTTCATATATTAATAATTAGTCATAAGCGCATATATTCATACACCCCCTTATTCATAAAAATGTCAAACCTCATAAACCTATTTTAGCTATTAAATTGTTGTCTCTTACTTTTGTACTAGTCAGTTCGAATGAATGTGACAAAACAGTTGAAATAGGTTTGTCAGTTTTAGTTTATATGAATAAGGACGCAAGAGTGTTCAGCGGGTCTATCATGAAATGAAATTCCGAAATTTCGGACTCAATTTCGTGTTTTTGTTTATACCAAAATCTGACCAATAAATGGAGTTTAACATTTCTTTCGTCATACATCCTATCATAACAGTCAAAAGTAACAATATTTTAACATATTTAATATTTCTAAACGGCATGTATTATTCTTTCTTTCTTTATTGTACACAAGACATACTGTTAATTCCAATTCATTATAAACATAATGTACAAAGGCGAGCTTATCTCTAATAAGAGATTTCTTCCAGCAAAACCTTTCCATTATGCAATTTTAACATAAAATTTCTGTTTCGAAATTTCGGAAAACATTTCATGGTAGGCCCTCTGTACATTAAAAACATGTCTATATAAAAAAATATTCAGAACCGTTCCATGTCCGAGATGTTGCTTCTTTCTCAAAACTATATATGGATTAATGTATACCGTTAATGAAAAGTGCTTTTAATTATTCTCCTCCCCCACGCCCAAATAATCTTAAATACGCCAATGTCTGAGGAGTTACATGACCTGGTGCCATCGTCCACATTCCACCATAATACCTGTACAAACAGCTTGAGCCTTCCACATCTTTTGCATGAGGACACAAGACCGTGCGCGAGAAAGAAACGTGCAAAAATCGCGCTCGTTTCTTCCTTACTCATGTAGGTTATGCATTGAATTTCCTTCTTAGGCTTCATAGGTAGAAGGAATTCTACGCTACTTCGTGGAGTTTTATTTTTAAATACGCGCCTTTTGGGAGGAAAGGGATTGTTAGTAATGTAGACTGAGAATCCCATTGCTAGCAATATACCCAACCAAGTCGACCTCCTCGCGGTTCTCCCTGGAAATTATCATGGTTAATTCCTGATGAATTCATCATGATGGGCTAACTGGCCAGTTTTCATTCCCATTCACCCATTCACTGGTGCTCCGCAAGCGTATACCGTTAGCGCAGGCGGGGTTACAATACCATTTTCACCCATAAAAAAAAATACGCGCCTTTTTTAAGACTGACTACACACGAGCAACCTTCTTTTCTTGTAAGTATTCATTTGCTACAATAGTCACATTCCATTAACGGTACCGAGAACTTCCAGGCCTCCTTAATAATAAATAAAGTTAAAATGTCATCATCATGTCAGCCCTTAACTGTCCACTGCTAAAAATGAGCTTCCACCTTGCGGGGGGGGGGGGGGGGGTTGGAGGTTTCACACTTGTCGAGCGGATTGGTAATCAGAGTCAGGCTGTAGCGATGTTTTAAAAGGAATGCTGCTGGCCATTCTTCGCCCTCCCGTAGTCAAAGATTAGCCTATGCCAGGACCACAAAGCCAAGTGTTTGTTTAAAGTGAAAACATAATTATTTATAATTTATCTACATACACTGAGCATGTAAAGAAGTGTTAAACAATTTTATGTATCTGTCATCTATGGCGATTAATCTGCAAATTTGGATTGGACGGGAAGCATTTAGGATATCTAGTTATTCGTAAAATAGGAACATAACAACATTTGTTTTTCAACATTTACTCTCATGAATTACACCTTATAAATGTGTTTGCATATTGTAACCTTACAAAATACTTTACCATATTACAATGTGCTAAACTTAAAAATAACCTATTTTGTAATCATGTCTTTTATTACCTTGCAAGCAGTCCTTTTGATAATTTTATAATTGAAAGTTCAAAATGTTTCATCTGTTTAATATAATTTCCATTGTGCAAACTATTCAATAGGCCACCACCTAAAAGCATACAAATATCTACAAATAAAGGAAGATTGTTATTACTATGTCGCCAAAATATTTTAATTCCAAACAAAAATTATATTATGCAAGGTAAAAAAGGTCGGATGTTACGATACAATTCTCTCAATAATAAATATGTTTCAGTATTCACTTCCATAGAGATCAAACTAATAAAAATAAGATTTCCTTCTTTAAATATATTATATTTATTTTAGATCTTACAGCGACTTATTTTGAGATGGAAAACGTAAAATAATTGAATATTGTCAATATTAGAAATGACAATATCCCATTACAATAACCATTTTTAAATAATTATTACACAATAATCATAATAATGTTTATATCAAATACCCATATTTATATATTCCTTTCGTATCAATCGACAAAATAAAATATGAACGAAACAACATCAACAATTACTAAGTTTTACACAACACTCATGTACTTTTTATAAATAAATGCCATATTATTGTGATACCTCCATGAATGACATTGCAAATAAAATGTACACAATTTGCATACACACAAAATTATAAAGCATTTTATTATATTTGTGAAAGTTCTAATATAATGTTATGATCGGTTTCATGTGAGCATTGAAACTATTGGTAACAATTTAATTCTTCTTAATTAGGTACTTTAAGGCGTGTATATATCTGAGTTGACTATTAAATTTTATGGGTTATCCATTCTACATGTTCTACACCTTGGTCATATTAACATATATATCAATGAAATGGTTCTGCTGTATGTATGAACTGTACGACTTATTTATGCGCTTAAATGTAATATTATTTATTGAGGCATAAACTAGTGCCACTGTAAATTTAAAAATAAAATTCTTTTTAGTAAAAAGTTGGTGGAATTTTTATTATTAAAAACAATGTAATATATATTTTAATGAAAGTCTAATTCTATTGAAAATTATTAAAGTTAGCACCTTTGAAATGGCGAGTTTGTGAAATTATGGAAGGTGGCTTTTTAGATGGAAATATTTAGATCTGTTCTTAATAAGACTGACTAATTCTATGAATTACAAATATGCCCAAGAGGCATTAGTATAATAGTGAGTTCAGATTTAAGCTATTCTGCAGCATACAAAATAAATCTAATAATCCGGCATACAGTAAGTTCCGTTTCATTGTTCGTTGCACACAGCTGCACCCCTCCTAGAAAATGTAATTTTAAAACATAAAGTATATAATATATAAAGTATATAGTATAGAAAAATATTATTGTTATATATCATCAAAAAAAAAAATAGAAACCCATACATTGCCAACTTTCAATTCAGACTACTAGGTGACACTATATGTATTTGACACTGCACTTCAACATACTCGTACATTATGTGGTTTTTAGTGGATCAGAATCTTGCATGTCTCATGCTTCCTTCCCTCTAGTCAACAGGAATAGTTAATTGGATTTAATATGAATTCTCAATATATTTATATAAAAATTATTTGTATAAAAAATAAATAAGTTAGAAAAATACCTTACAAGGTATTGATGGTTAATGCTCAAAATGTATAAACAATTACCTCATCAGCCCTTGCTAGTAGGCAGCTCTCCCGCTCAGTGTGTGCAGTGCAGCACCTAACAGCAGCCACCGCCAGCAGCGCCCGCCGCGCCTGCACCCCCCGCGCCGCTCGCCCCACCGCTCGTCGAGTGCTGTGGCCCGATTTTGATACCATTTGCCTGATAATGAAATATCGCATTATTTTTGCTCCTTATAAACTTTTTAAGATATAAAATAACTAAAACAAGTAGCCTTTACATTTAAGAAATGAGTAAATTCTAATTCTATTATTGGTAATGTTTTACATTTATTTCTCTGACATTATGAAAATTTGTATCATTGTTATTGTTAATAATGTTGATGAGAATTTTAGAAAAAACTTGAATAAAAAAAAAGTTGATGTATGGATGGTTGTAGAACTTCTGGTATTAAGAATAGTTGGCAGTAACACACATACCAATAGTAGTTATAATAAATTAAATAATTCTAATTGAATAACCAGTGATACGGACTTCTGCAAGATAACACCTAGTTTAGTAAGTATTATTAGTTAAATGATATTCGTAAAAATATAATTGCAATAATAATTTTGGAAAACAATTCATACATTTTTAAAACATATGTAAAAATATTCATCTCAGCGATTATCAGTCCACTCCTGAACATAGACCTCCTTTATAGACTACCATAAGGAACTATCCTGAGTATGTAGAAATAATACTGCTTGGTTATTTAGCACTGTGTTGTGTATATACCTTAATATTAGACAAAATTGATTATAAACGATAAATAATATATACCTCATTGTTGATATCAAAAACACCTTCTTGGATTTTCTCATAGATCTCTTTGGCTGTGTTTATGAATGCTTCTTCCACATTGGCGGCTGTCTTAGCCGAAGTCTCCATGAACACCAAGCCATGTTCACGCGCAAATGCCTCGCCTTCCTCTTTCTTCACTTCACGCCTCGACTCTAAATCACTGAAAATAGTCAATGATGCAATTATAATATAAAATAATAACTATCCTGATTAAGCAAAGAGAGTAAAGTCGACATAATTACAACAAAGATAAAGCATTCCTTAAAGATGATTCATTAAAAATAAACAACAAAAGCAAATCGAAGAAATCTTTCAAATATTACTTGTACATTTCTTTAATACTATGTGCTAAACAAGCATACAGCTCGTGTGATGGTAAACGGTCACTGCAGCCTAAGAACGCCTGCAACATTAGAGGTAACACGTGCACGTTGCCGACCTTGAAGAAACCTCAATATACCTAAACATTTATATAAATTCAGTTTTATCTTCAATTTTATAGTATATTAATGATTTTTCGATTATTCTTAAAATTTATTTCGTCTTTTCTTATTTTTAGTTCATATAAAATTGAATAAACAAGTGAGTAATGTTTATTATTTAGTGTTTTGTTCTGTACCTATAAAGATTTGAATGTTCATTAAAAAATTACCAAAAAATTATATTCCAATAACTGTATGTCACTAACCTCTTGTTACCAATTAACATTATGACCATATTCGAGTTAGAGTGCTGACGCGCATCTTCGAGCCAAGTGGTCAGGTGGTTGAATGTGTCCCTCCTAGTGATGTCGTATACTAGAAGAGCGCCAGCCGCGCCCCTGTAGTACGATCTCGTGATTGACCTGCAAACAGAGAAACAAATTACAATCACTGTCAAGGAGAGTATTTGATATTTATTGATGAAGGAACTCATTGCAAGTAACATAGCCGTTAACCGTCAACTGCTGAACATAAGCCTTCCCAAAAGAGGAGTTTTGCCAGTAGTTGCCACACTTGGCAGGTGGATTGCCAACCGCAGTTAGGCTTTTAGAGATGTTTTAAGACGGATGCCCATCCCTCGCCCTCCCTTAGTTGACTCTTACAACACCCACGGGAAAGGAAGAGGTGGCCTATTCTATACACACACAGTGAGTAATAGAGATAGGGTATATTGGTGTCCGACTGACTTTCATATGGTCCCTAGGGAATTTGTCATAATGATCTGACCTGAATTCATCCTTACCAGGGCCGTAGCTAGACCCAAGTTTAAGGTAGAGCAAAATAACTTTCTAATAGGGTAGAAGCCATGATTAAGTGACTTTGAAAAAACAAATCTGTCTAATTTTTTTGGGGCCTTTCAATTTAAGGCAGGGCATTGGGTCTTTCAAGGTAGGGTATTGCCCTCAATGCCTCCCCCTCCTGCCCTAGCTACGGCCATGATCCAGGTGAATGTACTAATAGACCGAATTCATTGTGATAGATCAATTGGCTAGATTTGATCCTCACCTATTAGCTTATACCAGTGACATAAACAGTTACCATTTCATTATCATTCATTAAAAAGAAATCACAATCATTAGTATTAAGTTATCTTACAAAAAATAAATTATATACTAAAATTGTAAACAAAGTATATACTAAAATTCAATGGTTCAATGATCCAACAGAGAAAGACCAGATACAAACTCCAATACAATATGTTTGGCTGACACAGAATGTTAACAAAAATAATTGATGATTTAATGAAAAAAGTCCATCAATACATAAATACACCCAAATTGGGTAACTTGTTTTAAATTATATTTATGATTTGCAGTACATATTCTGAACATTTGTTAAAATTGTTGCACAAAACCTGCAGTGAAATCAGAGTGAGTTCAGAGTTGACTATTTTTAAGAAAATACTACTTCAAACATTTAATGTAAAAGTAAGTTCAATGAATCATTACATTGTTTTTGAACCCTATTGTCTTATCTTTCTTGACACAATTACATTGCCTTTATTAAAAATTTAATTAAAATTGTCAATCACTGTCAAAGACAAAGCAATGCTTAAAGTAAATATTTTCAAATGATAAAGAAACTTAATGGAAGATGTTTAATTAATGTAACTTTAAAGTATTTTTGAATAGCTTAAGTACCTACATGTAAAAGAGATGAAAGAATATTGTATTTTTTGCAATGATGCCATTACAGACTTTATCTTATAGAATTCATGGCCAGTATGACGATTTTATTCTTAAAATTAATATAACTTTAATTCAAATAGGAAGACAATGATGAATATACTAAATAAACTTGACACAAAATTGTGCAAAAAAAAAATATATTAGACACTTAATTTACCTGAATGCTTCTTGACCAGCTGTATCCCATATCTGCAGTTTGATCTGCTTGCCATCAATAGTGATCATGCGAGCACCAAATTCCACACCTATTGTGAGATCATGTACAGGTTGGAACCTTTTGTCTGTGAATTGTAGTAGTAGACATGATTTGCCAACACCTAATAAAAAAGAAAATGCCATTTTAAAATTGTATTATTTAATTTCACTCAGTTCTTCAAACTGACACATATGTAATCATTACATATTTGAATGTTGTGAAAGAAAAAAAAGCTTATGATAATTTTATAACTACTGTCATTTTCTAATTTGACTATAAAGAAATTATATAAATATAAAAGTTATTACAATTAGTACATTTTATTTTTCATGATATATTTCCATTTGAATGTAAATTACATGTAAAATGAAATAACAATGAAGTCCTTGAACTAGTAATAAGGGATTATGGTTGAAACTGTCTATAAATATTAATCAAAACTAGCAGGTTTATTGTAACAAAAGTAGGAAAATGGACAAATACGCTATATATACTGATAAAATAGGCGTTATTAGTTGATATTTGGCGCAGGTATTGAAAGGCGTAGGCGGAAAACAAAGATTAGACAAAGTGATTATGTACTAATATATAACAAAGGATCATTATATTATAATCGCAATATTAGAAAAATGCTACTTACATTTTTAATGTACATAAAAATAAAAGATTCTATAGACAATAGATAGGCCATGAACGAACAAACACGGAACAACTCTTGATAAACTACTAGGAAACAAAATTAATACCTGTATCTCCGATGATGATGTATTTGAAGAGGTAGGCGTAAGACATTTTTTCAACTGTTCCTCGTAACTATATGATATTACAGGAAATATTATTGGTAAACAAATAGTTAGAAGATGATTAAATGTATAATTAAGACGCAATTTATAAATATCTCACAGCTGGTTGAATCAAATTGTCATTGTGAATTTTGTGAAGTTGTAAATCTGAGAATTGTCATTTTTTTGACATTCTCATCATAGACATTTTTTATTTTTTATTTATAAGCTTGGTTCATCATAGACAATATAAAAGATAAAGTACCTAACTACCGACTGTTGGGGGAAAAGGATTATTAGCAATGCAGTTTAACAGCCCCATTGCTAGTAATATACCTCATTAGGTCGACCTCCACGTAGTTCCCCCTGGAAACCATCGTGAACAATTTTTGTTGAATTCGTCACGATGGGCTAATTGACCTATTTCATCCTCACCTATCATCCTTCACTGGTGCCCTGCCGGTGTATAAAGATAGGGCGGGTGGGATTACTATTCCATTATCATCCATTAAAAAAAACTACCGACTGTTTATATTGCCGTTATTATGAATTTATAGAAAAGTATAATTTATCTCGTTGGAAAGTTGATTAGTTCTTCTAAAGGTGATTTTTTTAAACAACAAACAGTTCAATAGGCAAAAAATGTATGATATTTACTGGCAATTGTTATTTTTAAAATGAGTTATTACATATAATCGATTAGTATTGACCATTGATGCTGCGTCTGCAGCATTCGATAACAAATGGTGCTGCTTATTTGACAAAAGCGCATTTAGCCCATTCAGTAATTAGGAAGCAATTGTGGTACATAAAACAAATATATTTAATAATTACCTTTTAACTACAAAATGATTGTGAAGTGTTTGTTATGACAAGTAACACTTAATAATTCCTTAAACAGGTGTTAAACAGTCAAACAGTAAAAACTGCTGTTTACAAAACAGACATGAAGTTGCTTTATCTTCTTCATTTTACAAAAGACAATAAATATTTGTTCGATGAACACACCTTATTTGACCATGTACGAAAACCATTACTATAAGTTTAGTATCGTTAGGCGTTTTTAAAAGGTTTTATTGTATAAGTATTTTATAACGTAGATAGTTTCTTTTTAATGAGTGAAAATTGGTATACCTGCGCTATTAATATATACTGGCGAGGTATAAGCGCCATTTTTATCTACGAATGTAACATGAAATGAAATTCCAAATTTTCGGGTTTCATTTCGTATTTTCGTTCATACCGAAATCGGAATGAAATCTGTATGTTCGTTATAGAAACAAAAACTACTTGACAGATTTTAACGAAACTTGGTACAATTATTCTTCATACTCCTGGGCAGGTTACAGTATACTTTTCATCACGCTACGATCAATAGGAGCAAAGTAGTGAAGGTAAATGTTGGGAAAACGAGAGAAGTTAGGTACCTACTTCATTTTTAAGCTTCCGTCGCGTGTGCAACCTTAATGGCCACTTTTTAAAATGTAAAAATGTCCACCCGTGCGACGCCGGGACGGGCCGCTAGTTATGAATAATATCAAAAGAAGAATAATAAAAGAATAAGATTAGATCGACTACCTCTTAAGACTACCTATAAAAAAATACATTGAAATGCATATTAGAATACATTCTTTGTTGTGTGGTTGTTATACGGACAAAGAAAATTATAAACAGGACATTGGTTCTCAAAGGCATGACATCCGGCAGCCCTGTATTCACTTATTGTTTTTCTAAATTGGACACAATTACAAAAAGGTTACCTTTCTATCCTGTTCATTAATTTAAAAATAAAATAGGGGAAAAGTAATAATATATAATAGCAGGTTTGAATAAGAAGGTATATTAGATACTAGCTGTATTCTGCGGCTTCGCCTGTGATCGGATCGTAATGTTGAAGAGCCTTCATCAAAAAATGAGCTATCAAATGTGAAAAGAATTTTAAATTCGACTATAAGTTCCAGAGATTAGCGCGTCTAAGTAAATAAACTCAGCTGCTGTATTTTAGTATAGATTATTACAATAGCATATCGATACATACATGGATATACCATTACTTAATTTAGCCATTATTGATGTAATTTACAGATTCAATTAATTAATATTAAATTTTTGTTTCTTGGAATTTTTTTTTATGGGTGAAAATGGTATGGTAACCTCGCCCGCGCTAACGGGATACGCTGGCGGAACACTAGTGAAGGGTGATAGATGAGAATGAAAACAGGCCAGTTAGCCCATCATGATGAATTCATCAGGAATTAACCATGATAGTTTCCAGGGGGAACCGCGAGGAGGTCAACCTGGTTGGGTATATTGCTAGCAATGGGATTCTGTCTCCATTACTAACAATTCCTTTCCCCCCTCTTGAAAATATTAAAATGATATATATACAAGGATAGCAAAGTCTCAACAGTGGGATATAAATGGGCTTTTATTTTTATGTACACAATGTTTGGAAGTCTCCGAGTTTGAACTCGGAGTAGGTACTTCCTTACTTAAGTTCGTAACCTATGAGGTTTATTTTTGTTTTAGATTATAATCTTAACCTTAGACTACTTGACGCTACAGTTTTATTATTCTCATGTAATTATTCGTATTTGATTCAGTGCGCGGTTACACTCAAGAACTTGTAGATTCATTTAAGCTGAGATTCGTTTTACAAATATGAAAAATTTGAAATATCTGGCATTTTGCATTTCAAGAAATTATTGTAGTCAGTAAGTTTTTTGTTGCTTATTATAAAGTATTGGTTTCTATTGTTATCCAACCTCAAAGTACGTAGGTAGCAGTGGCGTAACTATACCATTTGGGGCCTGTGGCAAATTCTTTTGACGGGGCCCTATCAGTAAAAAAAAAACACTATTCAAGTAAAATAAAATACTCAGATACAATGAAAAAAAAGTATATATATGTATATATATATATATATATATATATATATATATATATATATATATATATATATTTCTGAGCTCGCGGTCTCTTGAACCGGGGCCCTTTTGGGTCGGGGGCCCGTGGCATTTTGCCAGCCCTGTCATCCTATTGTTACGCCACTGGTAGGTAGGTACCTATTTATCATATACTTTAACTATATATATTGTAAACTTTATGACCTTAGTAACATATTTTCAGATCTATTAGACAGAAACAGGAAATCGCAAATGCGTTAATATCGCACGAATCATTCGTCAAATTTCAAAATTCTGTACCTGAGATTGTAAATACTATTTTGATTAAACGAGCTCATTTGAGTTTATTAGGAGTTGAAGATCATATTAAAAAGGTATGCGTTTAGAATGTTACTAAGTGCCTATTATAGATGAGCTAAGCCATAAGTCTAATATCATAAACATAACTAAAATAATGTACTAAAAAAATAATTGACATATAGGTACCAATTATTTTTGTATTGCGATATTTTAATTATTGCGTTAACAAATTTGTATTCAAAATTCTTTTTAAGGTTGAAAAAGTTTCGGTCGTATCTTCAGTATAACATAGCTAAGTTTATAGTTTTCAGCAACGACGAGAATTAATGCGATTTAAGTAGACTATGGATACGATACGATTTGTTTTATCTAAAACCATTCATTGTGTAATTTCAGATTGCTGATTACGGTTTATACAATGGGAACAAATTAAGTAGCTCCCTTCTGCTGTACACATATAAAAAATTGGAGACTGGAAAAAGTATGACTGAGCAATCTCTTTATTTAGCTCACGTACTCGCTTGGGCGGTGGAAATGGTTAGTTATCTCAAATAATAATTAAATAATAATAATACAGATAACACGTACCTAACGTGAAATAATTTCAATGATTGAATCATATTGTAAAACTCTATTTCTAAAGTAAAAAAAGGAAGCCATCTTCTCTCTTACTTGCTGTGCCCAAAAGGGCTCATAATTAGAGTTGAGAGATGCAATAAGAAATAAATAAATATGTATACTAATTGTTTAAGAAAGGCTACAAATAATTTTAAATTTATCCAAATTTTCTAACGGTTAAAAGGCGCAGTCTTATTAAGGGGGCTGGGAGGTGGGCTGTATTTATCCTGTAATTGTCCGATGCCCACCCCAGGAAGCGAGCATGAATTCGCAAAGACATAATAAAGAGTACATGTGAACCATTTTTAAGGGACCAGACCCCTTTCGAAAATAATCTCAATGACGCCAATGTTGAATAGGTTGTTGTTTACAGTTTTCTAACCGTCCTATATAAATTTCAACGAATTCCTCGGTTGATAAGTTATTGCTACCACATGCATGAAATAGACAGAAACAGTAAGCCCGGTTTTTTGTTTTTTTTTTCATGCGTGTGCTAATGAAAATTCGGTTGCTATTTATTTTGGCTGAAAATAATAAAGAAATATTCAAATAAACTTAAATTTAAGCATTTTTGAATAGTAAACTCGGCCATTGCTTTTTTCAAAAAGTCGAATTATATAAATTATGAGTGTGTGAATACATATAAATAACTACTAAGCAGTATTGGATCACAAATTTTAAGATATATATAATTAGAAGAAATTAATAAAATAAATGAACTAGACGTTTTCTAAAATATCTCCGAAATATCACAAATGAATATCGTACCTATGTATAATAACTAAGTATGATACCTAAGTATCAACAGACGAGATTTGGTAAAATTATAAGGGTTTAATTTTTATCATTCGCGCTATACTCCACAAAAGAAATACTATAAATCCCACGTAAATCAAATTATATGTATAACTATATAGATAAATTCCTAATGTATATTTATATTTTCAGTTTCATTGTTTATTTAATATTTTGGATGATATGCAAGACAAAACAAATGCACAAGTTAAAAATGTGCATTTGCTCTCAAATGCCAAAGCCGGTGCTAATGATATGTGCTTAATTATAAGTTCTATATATGAAATGTTGAATGTACATTTTTCTGGGAAAACATTTTTTAGTAAAATTGTAAATTTATTCAATACGGTAAGTACAAATCCATCAACACATTTTAAAATTTGTCAATTAATCTCTAGAATCATGTAGGATAAATGAACAGCTCATGGTGTCTCAGAAGCATATCTATGTTTAATGGATGCTAATGAATGGTTTACGCCACTAACAATGAATGATAGATTAGGAGGAATAGCTTTTGAATATAGTACTTTATTTATGATACCTATCTTCTGTTGCTAACAGGTGTGTTTTATTCAGTGTTGGAGGAGATTGAGATTAGTTTCATATAAAATGCGACGAAGGCTAATGCCCATTTAAGTGACCGTTCCATCACCCATTTCATTTCATCACTGCGCGCAGAATTATGTCGTATACACATTTTTTAATGGATTATAATAGAATGGTTACCCCGTCTCGGTTTACACTGGCAGGGCACCAGTGAGGGATGATAATTGAAAATGAAAGAGAAGGTCAGTTAGCCCATCATGATCAATACACCTGGAATACAGCACGATGGTTTCCAGGGGGGACTACATGGAAGTCGATCTGATGGGATATATTGCTAGCAATGAGACTGGTAGTCCGCATTATTAACAATCCCCCTTTCCTGCCGTATACATTAGGTATCATATATATCATTACAGGCATTCCTGTATAAGGCGACTGGACAACACTTTGACTTAACAACTTCTAAAGCGATGAGCGGAAATACAACACTATTTACAATGGAACAATATGATAATTTTGTTTATTTATCAAATACTTATTGTTCTTTACATCTTCCAATTTATTTGGGAATGACATTGGCCGATAAAGTAAATGAAATGTATTGTGAAGATGTACAGGATATATGTACTGATATAGGTAAACTATTACAAATGCAGGTACGTTCTACGAAATTTAATACAATATTGGTATATTGACGTTTATGAATAATTATTAATAAGAATTAATTTTGTTTGTATCAACCAACAAAATTTTTGTTTTATATATTTAACGCACATACAATTAATGTTCAATCAGTAATTGTGATATTCATGGTCTGATGTAATTTTGGCATTCGCAACTTATTTGTAAGTTAGTGACACCAGTACCTACTTAGTGACATTAAATTCTTGTTTCCATTTTTAAACGATAACCGTGTGTTTATGACGTAATTTTTTTCTGAATATCTACATCTTACCACGAACCAATTATATATCTATAGTCCACGATAACAATTTTTATATATTGGTACTTCGAGCCGGATTAATGTAGGTAGCTAAATTGTTAAAGTGAGCTCATGTGTACATTAAAATGTTATATTACGCAGGATGATTATCAAAATTGCTTCGAAGAAAATGATATGATATATAAGAGAGGAACCGATATTGAAAAAGGCAAGTGCACATGGTTGGCAGTTACAGCGCTACAGCGCTGCACACGTCCGCAACGAATCGTGTTTAAATCATGCTACGGTAGTGCTGAACCAGCTCACATGGAAAGAATTAAGTTGTTATACAAACAGCTTAAATTGCCACAGCTATACAAAGAACAGCAGAAGGCTACCAGTAAACGTATAGTGGAGAGAATGGGGATGTTATCAAAAAATAACAAAGGCGAAACGCTGCCACCTGAATTGTTTGAGCATTTCCTGAAACCCAATAATGTAGAGTTGTAAGATATAAACAACGTGGTGGCAGGCCTAATAAAGCTAATAAACCTTTCCATCCTTACTACAGTATTATTATCTCCGCGACGTGTTACCTTCCGATACCGTGCTAGTAAATGTCGCGGAAGAAGTAAAAAATCAAATTGATCCTATAAGCGGCAATAATATATTGTTGAATAATAACTATCACAAATTATGCTGTATTATATTTATATCACTTTACTCATATTTTAAACTCGGGGATGACCGACTAGTTTCGTATTTAATAGGAGCCCTTAATAATGCGCGCATGCGCAGCGTTCGTAGTGGTGCATTCCCGAATTTAAAACGTGTGTAAAGCCAACATAAATAATTTCATTATATTGTTTTAAGGATAGCGGCTGTTGTATAATTGAAACTAATTACTACATTCTATCATAGTATATTCCAAAAATATAATGTTATACATAACATTGCTTCTATATCGAGTTACGTTACAATGGTTCAGTGGGACTGAACCAAAACGACATTAGGTACTTACAAATAAATGACTCATATCAACAACTGCTAAATTATAGGTACTTACACATTATAAGTAATGACATTTTATAGAAAGATTATACATCTATACAGGAGCAATTTAGAAGTAATCGCACCCATTCGTTCACATAGTAGTCTATAAAAAAAAAAACAAATATATATTAAAGAGCAAATAAAATAATATAGAACTATGAATTACAAAATAATATTAATTAATATACAGTCCTTTTCATATGAGTTTAATAGTGCTATATTTCGGAGGCCAATGTAATTCTTCAAGTGTTTATACCCCAAAAAAGTAAGCCTTGATCGGACTGCTTTAGTAAATTAATCGAATAGAGAGTACCTATAGTAATGTTCGACCTATTCGACTATAAGTGACTAACATTGTTATTCAGACAATTTTTGCTGCTAAATTACTACGTACGTTTCATTTAAACACTAAAGCAGTCTGAAGAAGACTAAAGAAATAATTAATTTTGAATTAGGAATAGTAGATAGAAGTTTTACACGGGATCTACTATTTCCCAACTAAAACATATTTACGGTCAGTATATCCTTTAAAACGAAAAAAATAATAATTACTTAATTGACCTTATATTAAAAAAAAAAAAAATTGAATAAAATAAATGTAACAATAAGAGTAAATATGAGTTACAACCCATTATCCTCATTATGTTGCTACATACTGCATCATTGGCTGTATGGAAATTATAAAAACTTTATTTATTAGAGGATTTTGCTTTTATTTTTTTTTAATTAGGTTGTTGTTGTTATATCCCCAAGTATTTCATTGACCGCCAACAGTAGTGATATTATTACAATGAATAACATAATGTGATAATATAAGTCTTACATAAAGTACAATTAATCTTGTTTACAAATGTATGTATATGAGTTGCAACGTTTACAGATAGGTATTGTGCTAATATAATTTTGACTAGTAAGCACCAATTGACTAATATATAATAAGATATCCCTTAATGAATTATTTACACTTTACTCTCTTACGTGGCTAATAAAATTTAGCCAATCACACTGCTTCCGTTATACAAAAAATACGAGTATGAGTTTAGTAACTATAATTGTACATTAGAAAACAACAAATATTTAAGCGATATGATATAGAAATTGAAGCTCTAAGAAATTAATGTGAATTAATCTTAATATAATTTATTTAAATATTTACGAGAAACAATAGCCATAATATACAAAATATAACAGAGGGGGCATAACAAATAGAAATCAAAAGATAAGTAGGTTATGTATTTAAGAAAGCATACATTTTTTCACAATAGAAAGAGACAAAAAATTCGTAAACCATATCTGCCACACCATGTTTACCGGTTGTAATATAGCTATATAAACTTTAAATTCATTTGTATTTAAAAAAATTCAAGAAAACAAATAACTTGTCTAAATTAAGTTTAGAGACAGTAAGAATACAATCGGGATTTGAAGTTAAGACATTATGTTAAGCTTAGTTCAGATTGTTTTAGTATTCAGTCGACTGGTAAGGCATTTAGCAACTAAACAAAATATTAATTATCGTTATTTCAGTATTCTATTTCTACTATATTTCTTGCCATTCGACCAATGTATATTCAAAAGAAGTCCGAACTATACTAAAGACATATAATTAAGTTTATTACTTAATATATATTTTAAATTGACGACACCAATGTCGAGAGGCTGATGTCGCTAAGCATTAAATTATCATGTGGTACGAATCTATTTGATCGTATTATAAAAGTACGGTCGCTTAGCTTAGAGTGTGCGATAATTATTTTAGTTTTAAAAAATATGGTGCTGAATGTAATAAAGCTACATGAATGAACAACCAGTCAGCATACCATCTTTTTATTACTCATACAGTACATACTTTTTAAGCGTTACAAATCAATAAAATGAATGTAGCTAGCTTAATTGGAAATAAAGCCAATTTCACTGAATCTTCACAGAGTTTGGAGGGAGCTCTAATATTTAAAGCAACAAATGTGAAAGACTGCAAAAATGCAATAAAAGAATTATATAATTTTTCATTTCCTTTTAGCAAAACAGTATTATAATGGAAAAATGAATTATAATGTGAGTACAGCTAGCACCAACGACCAATTAACACATCCAAATTTTAAAACGCTTATACGCACACCATTCTTGCAGTATTGATCATATATTAAAAACTTACAGGTACAATCAGGTATTAAAAACTAATATTTTATGAAGCTCATCCAAATATCGCGTCTTATTTATATAAAGTAACAAAAATTATTTTTTTAAATATTATTGTTTTAATCGGTTTTTGATGTTAACAGTACCTATGCATGTTTGTTAAATAATTAAATTAAATGTAAATTTTTTGTTTTAATGAAACTTATTTACTTGGGATAAGGGTGTTTCGGTGGTATTTAATATAATGTTATGAATATTGAATACAAACAGCTGTATAAAATCTGATCTTTTTATGCAATCGGAAATATAATACAGATATGTTGTTTCAATGTATGTAATTAACAATTTTAGTAAATAAAGCACGTTTAATCAGGTCACATCCTCTCCTTTTCATTTAATGTCTTTTTTGTTGTAATAGTAAAAATACATCAACATAATATAATTTGTAGCAAAAATATTAGGACATATCCACACGACTAAACAGTTTAGTTGTTAATAACCTATATGGGTACAGTTTTGCAGTCTCATTTTAATTCATAGCACACGCAACTAAAACCCTCAGTTGGTGAAAAATCTAACGTGTAGTTACGTCCTAATTACACACAGAATTTATATACAGATAAACATTGAAACAAAAATTATAAGAAAATACGAAACTAACATAAATATTAATTAAAGAAAATCGTTTATAATTGTACATACATTTCATAGTAGCCAATAATTAAATAAAACATTGGAAATTGTTGACATTTAAATATTATTCACTTAAATTATTTAATGGAAAATTGTGATTTATAAACACTTTGCTTTAACCCTGCAACTGCTTTGTATTTTACTGAAATTTGATGTCACAGTCTAAATATAATTGAACTTATAAATGTCTTTTACTTGCGTTAATTATATATGATTGTTTATTATAGCAATTTTATCTTCCGTTACTGTACAAAGACACCATGAGAAGTGAATTGTATACTTAATTTGATGGCTGCCACTTTAAGATGGCAGTAAAGGATTATTACTAAAAGATTAAAATTTATCTCAATTAATCGATTAAAAAAACATTGGTGTTATTCGATTCTTGGGCACATAGCTTGTGTTAGCTGTGTAACCATATTACTAGCATTATTATTGATGTTCTTGCATGATTTACTTTCACAAATGTATTCTAACAATTGAAGATACAGTACTCTGGTCGTTAAGGAAGAATACCGTGTTACAAGAAATCAAACAATGAACATCTGGGAATACGATCCATACCCGAGTCAAATTAGAAAAAAAAATCCATAATGGTCACGATCTAAAATCGATTATTATTTACGCAACGTACTTGCTATTGCGTCAAAGACATTGTTAATAATAGATTTATTCGATTTTTTATTTATCATTATTCATAGTTCGGAATACATTTACAATATGCCTTAGTGGCAGTAGTTACTTATCTCAGGCTGGGTCGCCTTGTGGTCCGAGGATGGGTAGCTGGGGTGAATGGACAAGCCGACGGTGGGCCTCGGAGCCTGTGAGTGCGGCGACCGTGATGCCCGCCTGGTATGACGCAGGCAATCGAATGTGGTGCGTTCGAGTGCCGTGTTCAGACCACCCCGTGGATCGCCACTCCCGTATCACATTCGCCACTTGACCTGCATTTTGATAAACAGTAAATACTATTAGATTGAAATATTGTATAACGCCATCTAGTCTTAAGCAAACTTGTATTATGAGTATTAGGCAACTGTCCATTGCTGAACATAGGCCTCCCCCTTGAGGAGTTTTATCAGTAGTTGCCAGGCTTGACAGGCGGGTTGGCAACCGTAGTTACACTTTAGTGATATTTTAAGAGGGATCCCTTGACCATTAAATTCCCTTAATCGCCTCCTACTTATAAATCTCTTACTTACTCTTAAAAATAAAAGCAATTGGTTTGTTATAACACTGTATTGCACTTTTTGTATGCATAGATTTTTTTTTATTTCAAATTCTTTATCTAATTGCCTCAAATGAAACAGCTTTACCTAAGAATTTCATAGACATTTAATAATTAAAAAATATTCAATCCAGCTTGTTTTTCTATAGACAGGACAATTTTAAGTCTATGTCATTATAATGAAGCAGTCTTATTTTTATACTAAAAATACTCACCAAGCACATTGTATGTGTGAAAACGCCTATCAGGAACGGCCATTAACGGCGTCAGGTCAGTGACATCATTGAACCTGGCTAATACATCCCTCGTTCTCACAAGAAGCACGGAAGGTGATGTTAGCCGAGGCCATAATGTTGTCTCCCGAACGCATTCCACAGGATTGCAGAGGTAAACCCCTTGAGGTGACACACCAAACACCATTTGATGATGCCAAGCATCAGGTATCTCACTGTCGCAACCAACTTGGAGATTGAGGGTTAAAATTGGTACTGCACCTACAAAATAAAATTTATTGATAATTAATGCTTTTTTCTACTCTGAATTTGCTGGAAGAGAATTCTAACAGAGTTAAGCTCGCTTGTTGTACACCTTTTTAAAAATAATTTATAAAAAACCAACTTCAATTGTGGCAAAATCAATTATTTTGATTTCAATTAAACTAATGACCGATTTTGATAAATTCTCTATGGGATGAATCCATAAGTATATCCTTTCAGATAAAAAGGAATTTTCCAAATCGGTACAGAACTAACAGAGTTATTTATTTATTTATAGTAAGGCAACAAATCAATACATTAATAAAATAAATATTACATAAAACAGCATTAAATTTGTACTCCAATAACTGCTCTGCATAACATTCGATATTATATACATTAAAAGAATGACGGCTATAAATTTTTAACAAATTGGCAGCCCTAATGTAACATTGCAAGGATTGTTGGAAAATATCAAGGTCCTTGCATACAAGGTAAGGTAATAAACATAAAACTATCAAATTGAGAACCTCTTTATTTTCAAAGTCGGTTGATAATTTAATCTTTGTGTGCATTAAAGTATAAATATATAAGTAATAAAATAGTGTTTGACCAGGTCAGTATGGGAAGAAAGGGACGATTGATAGTTTTTTTTTTTTTTATATTATCGTCGGTGTTTATTAAAATAGTGGCATAAGGAAATACGGATCAGCCGTAGTTAACTAGAGTAGATTATTATTATTGAAACGTCTAAAGAGTGTCGCCTAAAAATATTTCAACAAAAGAAGCCTTTACCTGAATGTATAAAATTGTATGTAATTTGTGACTATTATCAAATAAAGTATTGTTTATTTATTATATTATCGATATCAAAATTCTGGACCTTCATATAATGTAAAAAGATAACATGTTAACAAATACTTTAGGATCTTATATGACACTCAACTAGATCTAGACGTGTACGATCAACTGCATACATTACCTAGTGAGATCCAATCTGCCAACCAATGTGATAATGACATGGCCCTTTCTGGGTATGTTGGGAAGAATCTTGCAGTGACCAGGCCATCTGACGCTCTCTGGATACCAGCCACAAGGTCCGCGGCCGTGCAACCAGCCACTGCACGCGACAATAAATACCTGAAATAGAAAAGTAGAGTAAGATTACAATACATACTTAAAAATAAATGTGTTTAAAATTTTTAAACAAAATTATTTTGTACTCGTAAGTAAATTTTTTCCTTTAAAAACGAATTGCATAAATTAACTTTGATCGAAGATATATATGGTGATTTTGTGTTAGAAGATAGACAATGACTTAGGTTATTTTTTATCCCGTCCAATGAAATGATGAAATATGAAATAAAATGAATTATTTATTACTATTAATTGTACAATTCGTAACTTCTTATTTTGTATCATAATTGTGATTAAAAACTGGATCACACAAATAAGTTTGGTATTGAAGGTTTCTTAATAATTTCTCAGACGGTAATAGTTAAACATCGGTATATTTTTCCTGTAATATTCACATATTAATAAAGGCATCAACTGTAATTATTTCAGTTTTTGAGCTTCAGACACTACGATGATGAGAGGGTAAATGGTATTATTTATCACATTTTCGATTAAAAATAAAAAATCGCAGTTTTTTAATTATGATAAATATATAAAAATAAATATAAATCAGTTTTAAAATGTACAAATGAAGCCCTTTCATATGACTCCCCACTTGAACTAATAGGTCGATTTTTGAAACTTTGAGTACCCCTTTTGGTCCTCCAAGCAAAGAAAACGAAAATATTTTTTTCAAATATTTTCATTACAGCTATCGAGAGTCAAGGTGAGGCACTCGCTGTCAGTCTTGATATCGCAAAGGCATTTGACCGGGTCTGGTGTAGCGGTCTTCTATCATAATTGCCCTTCTACGGACTTCCCGTGAGCTTGTGTAAATAAATTGCCAGCTTTTTGTTGGGTAAACGCATAAAAACCGTTGTAAATGGTTGCTACTCCAATAGCATGGACACTGACGCTGGCGTGCCGCAGAGTTCTGTGCTATTCCCAACGTAGTTTCTACTGCATATTAATATGTTGACCTTAGGTGACATTCATTGTTATGCCGATGACAGCACCGGGAATACGCATTATACGGGTCATATCAATGCCTCTCTTTCCATTGTGGAGGACAGTCGTAAACAGCTTGTATCTAAAATCAAGAGAACGCTAGCTAGGATCTCTGATTGGGGATGACAATATTTAGTCCAGTTTAACCCCGCTAAGATTCGAGCTTGCGCGTTCACCGTTAAAAATTACCATTTGCTGAGGGTTGAATTGATTTCCATAATTCCAGGGCACGTTCCTTAACATCTCTAAAAGTATTGGGATCTGGAACCCTTATCTGTATGTAAAAGTTCGCTTGGCAAACTGATTTGACAAAGCTTATATAGACATTCCTTATAAAACTGGCATAATTATTTAGATGAATAGAAGCAGTGGCAAAAATAAGTGAAGAGTACAAAATTTCGCAATATTGGGTGAAAATTGTCCTTGTGTGATAGATAATTTTATTACACATACAATAAATTATATGGGATGTTGGTCAATTTTTTATTTGTATTTTGATTACAAGTTTTTTTAACAGTAACATTTAGAGGAAAGTAATTAACGTTTTACCATATCTAAAGTCAGATTAACATTTGAGATATTTAGTACATCTCTCAATGTCTATCTTTTTTATTATCAATTTTAAAATAAAATAAAAAATAGCAATTGCTGAAAAAAGTGGCAACATTTGTGAAATTTGGGTGTTGTAACATTGTACAGGCAAGTCTAGAATGATACTCCCCTAAATGGCCAAAGCAGTGAGTTGACGGATGCAGGATTTTTTAAAATTTTGGATCTCAAGAAGTATCATTTTCATATTACAATTTAGACTAAAGATTAATAAGTAATTTTATTTTAACCTAAATTGCTATAAAGAGTAAATTTAAGAATGTGGATACAGGTGGCAATGACTTATTTCTTGTGCTAGATCATTATATGCTAGAGAATGATGAACAGTATCTAATGGCTGAATGATAACTTCACAACTGCGAATTCAGATACAACGGTAACAGGAACCAGCAGTTGTCATTAAAATCAAAATAATAAACTTAGTTGCATTTCACTAGGGATACCTAATTTCTCCAGGTATCCTTATCCTTGTAGTTGTGAGATTGAATTAAAATGACCATTATTTACTTATTTATACATAAATTAAATACGAAAAAATATGTTTATAATAGCCAAAGTTTTATCTACACATTTATTTAATGTTCGAATTTTTTTTTTATTCTTAATACCTTGGTAAAGGAGCATTGTTTGCTCTTAATCTTGTACCGACAGCGGAATTTATTTTTTCTAAGTTAACAGGTACACCCAATGCAATCTGAAACAAAATAAAGATTCAACAAGGCAAACAGGATTAATTACTATAACAAGATGTTTCCCACGACTGTATATGATAGTGTCAGTGTATTAATCAATGGAGTACATCAATAAAGGTGCATGGTATAATTTTTATTTCCTGATTCCATGGGCTCTTTAAGAAATCGCTTCATAGTGAAGGAATTTCTGACATACCCTATATGAAATGAAAGGTTTGCATATTTTCTATGACAGTTTTGACTGTGCACTAATTAGTCATTCTTCGTTTATATGCATAGAACATAGTAAGAATTAAAAACAATAATAGCAAAAAATATGCAAAAATATAAAATTACTTACAAATACATTTACAACTGCTGTAGCTCCACAGGCAGATGTGCCAATTTGTGTGACTTGACGTTCACATGCCTCTCTTTCTGACCATATCATACTCCTTTCTGGTTCTATACATCTTGGGTCTGCTGTACTGCACCCAGGAATAGCGTCTGCACTTTTATGTGCATCCTTTTAAATAAAACATAATCTACATAAAAAAATTATAGTTCTATATCATAATGTAGGCAACATTATAAAGGAACACTTTCAAACTTCATACTTTTAAATACATGTTTGAACTGTAGTCATTGGCAAGATTTTTATTATATAAAATTAAAATACTAACCCTAAGAATGGATGAAAATAGAATATTGCACCCAATAATGGCTTACAATGACAGGGCACCAGTGGAAGATTAAATAATAAAGATAAAGGTAGGTCAGTTGACCCATTGCAGCAAATTAGAGGGAATTGACAATAATATAGGTCTCTAAGGGGGGCTTCATGGAGCTCAATCCAATTGGGTATAATCCCTTTCCCTGCCATTACACCTATTAGAATCATTTACTAACTATAATGATGTGATATAAAACTTCAATTGATTAAACATAAGAACTTACCATCTTTACATCAGGTTTATTTTCAGATTCTGTTTGATCTGCCATTAATCTTTGTGCCATAGTCAAATGGTATAATGCTGATGATAGATTAGCAGAATCAAAAGTTGGTCCTTGATTTATTTGATATACAAGTGAGCTACCTGGTTGCTCCTCATCTATAATTAAGTTTATAAAAATGAAATACAAAACATTACAATTAATAAAGAGAAGAAAAATGAAAAAGATTTTTTCTTAGAAGCAAACATAAACTTTCTGTAATAATATTTAATTGTTTGATTAACAATGTTGATTGATGACTTTTTTGCTACAAATTACAGACAATTTATTATCTCAATTATCAAGTTAAAGAAATAGTTTATTTTGGAAATATATTTATTTACTCATAATAACTTGTACCCTTAGTACAGTGTACTCACAGTTTAATATTTCTCGTGGTGATACTAAATCCCCACTCGAAACATGTAGGCTGGCAGGTACATTGGCAGTCCAATGGGACATTGTTCTACGGACCAATATTTGTTCTCCTCTAACATTTATATGAGTAATGAATGGCCCATAATTTGAGTGAGTAGTTTTGGGTATGTCTCCAATATCACCCTGCCCTGATGATATGCCACAGCTCGTAGATGGCACATTATAAGCAAACTCTACTTCATTGCGGAAGGTCTCAACAGATACATTAGCTGGAGGGTTTGGTTTAGTTCCACCTACATACTCTGGAGAAATTCTTTTAATAACAGGTTCATTTTCTTCAGGCATATTGTTAACTCCATTTAATTCCACATCAGGAGATGATTCATCTCCTGTATCTACTTCACAAGAAGGCCCTGGATCAAAATCCATTTCTAGGAAGTCCATATCAGGGCTAGATGCTCTAGAGCCTTGCTCCCTTGCTGGTGCTGCCTGGTTTTGCACTTGATAATTTGGAGGAACAGGCAAGTGCTTATCTAATGGCAAACCCATGTCTAAACTAAAAAAAGAGCTTGGCAAATCTGCTAGATGCTGCCCACCTCTATAAGTATATATACATCCATCTTCTGAACCTAATGAATAATCATCATTACCTGTGTCACTCGAACTGTCTTCAGCATCAAAATTTTGTCTATTAAGTTTTAAAGTAGAGGGCCTTTTTCTACTCTCCTTAAATGTACTGTTTTCAGTATCTTTACTAGTACCACTTGTTGATGGGGTCATGTAACAATTGGCTGCTTTATCCAAGCATACTTTATGTCTTTGACATGGCTGCGCTTCAATACTAAATGAAAGTGATTCAGTTTTACTAGAGCTTACAGATTCAGGAGAGTCAGTATTAAAATTGCTTACTTTGTTTCCTTGAAATTTTGCACCAACATTTTGGTTATATTCTAAACTAAGTTCAGCGGACTTGCTCGATTGCGGACCTGATTCGTTACTAGACGAGTTACAAAGTTTAGAATGAGGTCCATTAGAAGGAGTTAAAGTTGACTCTATTTGATTTGACACAGATGTAAACACATTTTCGGCATTGTCATTTAGAGTTCGTTGTATGGCAGGACTTTTGCAATTAGTATTTTTCTCATTGTCACAATCCGATTTAACTATATTTCTTGTAGGTGCACTGTTTTTATGTGGATCCATGTTTACAATACGAATATTAAAATGTTTGAGTCGTCGGCACTTATTACTATTGTTGTTTTTAAGGTTAGTCAATGAAAGTTAATGAAAGATTGTAATTACACAATCAAATAAAAGTACCTCTTTTAGAGGTTAATAATTATCTGCTAATGATGAAAACAACTTTAAAAAATTGTAACTGCAATATAAATAAACGAATTTCATTTACGACTCCAATTCCATTGACAGTTTTGACTTTTGTTTATGACATTTATGGTGACATTGACAACTTTAATAGCTGAAGATTTTTTAAATTTTTGGTAAAGGGCTAATATTGCCCATTATAGCCTACTATATTTTTTTATTTACAGTGTAAAAATAAAGGCAACTTTAATAGATTTATTACAAAGATAGTAACATCACTATTTTGTGATATAATTCTTGCTTTTAGTATTATTAATTATATCTTTTTTTAATAATATAGAATCATAAATATTATAAAATATATAAAAATAAAATATTATTTAGTCATTCACTAGACGTAGACATATATATGGTACGCCTGTCTCCGACTGGGATAGACAGAATTAATGAAAAGCCAATATCTAAATCCAAACAGATCTTTTATACTTCACATTCATTACGTTCATCGATCCTTCAAATTCATCGATTACAATTTTTTTTTTAAATATGGCCTACTTGACCGAAATCGGTATACGGGTATAATATATTTAAACTTATCATATAAAGTACTTTATGTACTGATTAGATTTTACTTGCAATTTTATTAGCATGACTCTGGAATATGTTTGGAAGCCTATATTCAGCAGTGGACGGATAATTGCTGAGATGATGATGACAATAAAGTCTATTTTATTTCATTTCTATGTATGGAACTCTCATCGTTTTAGTTCAACTTGGGTTGACCGATTTATATTGTGAAAGTCTCTGTTCCTAGCTACATCACTGATTTTTTTATAGATAATAATGGAATGGTAACTCTACCTGCGCCAACGGTAACTGGCGGAACACCAGTGAGGGATGAAAGGCAGACAGTTAGCCCACATAATGAATACTCGCGGAATTCAACATGATTCCGCATTACTAACAGTATTCCCCCCGGTACGTCACTGGTTAGAATCTATAGGTTGGGAAAAATAGTAAAACAATTTTATAGATAGATACTTATTTTTGTGTTTAAATTTAAGATAATAAAAATATAGATAATTAGTTTTAAATAATATTTTGTGTCAGCAGTATAGGCAGACAAATACAATAACATAATAGTATAACACTTTTAAGTTGGTAGTTTAAGACGAAGTTTGCCTTTATAATAAAAAACCTGATCACACTACAACAAAATTAGCTGCTTTACTTTTATTATAGAATACTCTAACAACCATATATTCTTATGTTTAAACAATAAATAAAATGATTATGTTGTTTTGTGATCACTTTGGCACATTATAATACATTATATATGGTAGGTGTGAAATCATAGGAAACTAATGTCTGTATATAATGATGTATAGTATCACTAATTTATGTATGTAAATATGTTTATAAGAATAATACAATTGGGTTGATCCCGAGATGCCATTTCATTAACCCGATTTCTAAATTTAAGATTTCTACTTGATATCAAAAAGAAATCTTTATTTAAAACAATATGAATAAAATTTTTTAAAGCCTAAATTATTATAAATATAATTTATGATGGCCCATATAATAGTACTCATTACTTCCTATGACACTGTTAGATTGACTGGAAAAGACCTCTTTTAGAGATAAGTTCACTTTACAGTAGTTACTATTAATGTATGTTTTAGTGCAATAAAGAATATATATATATATATATATATATATATACATCAGAATCAACCCCAATGTTTACAGATACAAGGCACAACTCATGCAGTAATCTCCTTAATACACCTATGGTAAAATTTTTATCAACTGTGAATTCATTGTGGATCTGGAAATTATAGTGGAAAAAGAAAGAAAAAAAGAACAGAATTACAAATTCGAAATAACAAAATTAAAAGAAAACTATCTAGAATATATATATTCATAATACTCACACTAATATTTTGAGTTTTATACATCATGTGTATTTTTTATCAAAATTCAAACATAGTAAAATAACCTTAATAATAATAATACACAAAATTCGCGTACCACTAACATAGTGACATTAACTTATTAACATTTACGGTTACCTCCGAAACCGCCCAACCGATTTTAATAAAATTTTGTAAATTACTACTCAAAGTAAACATGAGATTTATTTTTAAGCTAAGAAGAAAAAGGAGATCTGGTGGTGGTGGGAAGATTAATAATATTTGCCGATTTAACGAGTATTATATGTTTTTTTGATGCTAAGTTTAAAGAAGTGCCATCTAAAATATTAATAACGCAATACGGTTGTTATTAATAGATCATTATTATTTTAGATTTTCACAGTAAAAATTATTTAAAAACTTTAGAAGCAGAACCTGAAACAGTTGTTACCTTTCCAGTGACAATGACTAATGTTTTAGGACAATTTAACGATATTTTTAAATAATCATACAGAAATACTTGTAGTACAGGTCCCTCTTTTTAAATTAATTAAAATGTAGTAAGTATGAAATATATGTGACAGAGTAATATCTACTAATGTAAATGTATATTTATACATTGTAAAATTAATACAATGTTTTAATTTATTAATAAAATAATATAATTAACAACAAAGGTAAGAAATATAAATTATTGGTATGCTTCAATGAAAAAATAAAGTTGATAAGTATCAATAATTGATAAAATGCAGTTTTTCAAAATTTCGCAATATGCTTTGTATGTACATATACAAAGTTACATTTTGTATTTGTGCATATAAATGTTCTATAATTAGAAAAGGCCGCAGGGTTATTTTTATCTAATCTTTTTATGAAATGTTTAAATCTCATTTACAGGCTGAAAAATTGAAATTGAATTTTTTTTTACTTTTATACTAATTTGGATAAAATCCTTAAAAAAGTAGCGAAATTTATAATTTAAATTAATTATTAATCTTTTCATACATTTCATACAATTACCCATGGTAATTGCTAAGCTTCAAGAATATAATATATAATTATTAAATTTCGGCTTCTAATTGTTGATAATTCCATATATTCCACATATTTCCAATATGGATTTGTTTTGAATGACTCATTGTCTCTGTAGATATATTAATAAAATTAGAATGACAGTGAACACTTTCGAGTCGAAAGAAAACTTAAAATAGACCCACAATTGGTGAAACATCACACAATAATACTCAAAATTATTGTCCAATTGGGATCCTCCTATGTGCAGCCAGTTCGAAATAATACTTAAGTATTTATAGTACGATATTACATTTTAATAACGGAAACCCAAAGAATAAAATCTACCATCATTCAATAAAAGCTAACAAATATTATCATACAACAGTAGAGAAATGTATCTTGGGTTTCGTGTGGTAGAATTACAAATCAGGGTGTGCATAAAATTATATGAATGAAATTAATGTGGCGTTTTACATAACGCTTTCCGTAATAGTATATGTGTTTACAAAAATATTTGATATGTTAAAGTGGTAAAATATAGGTATTATTAAAATATGCGTTCATTGATTTCTTTTATATAACATATTAAGTAGTCTAGTAACGAGGGCTGTGAAACTAGCACCAAAACTTCCAGGAAGTGCTCGCGTCCTTTGCATTATACTATTGTAAATTGTACGTTCATATTCACGATACACCTCTGGCAAATGCAGTTGTTCATACAGCCGCTTGATCTGCTCAACATCTTTCGGCTCTTTGCTGCCATAGCATTCTTCGAATAAGGCACGTTGTTCTACGTTACAGCGCTGTAACGCTTGAACAGCTAACCACGTGCACTTGCCTTCTTGAATATCGGTGCCTGCCTTACCAGTTATTGATTCGTCTCCGAAACAATCTATATAATCATCCTAAAAAGAATAATACAACATATTAAAGCAATTAAGTGCCAGCGATATATAGGTAGGTACTTAACTATCAATTAACCTTGATTAAGTTTGATTGAATAAAAATAAATAAATATTATATGAATTTAGTTAATACATGCATTAAAAGAAACAAAGTATAAAAAAAGTAATGCTGTCTTATAATTTAATATCCTCAATTGATCTTAAACTGTTACATCTGTGCCGATATTACACTATTGTTACCACTTGTACTTTAACAACTTAACCAAACACATTTCTTTATGACAAATACTATATATGCGACTGGTTAATTGATCAGAATTATTATCAATATTTATACCACTAATGAACCAACCGATAGAAGTGGAGGACAGGGATTGTTAGTAATGAGGTCTATTGCTAGCAACAATAATTAGTCACGACGGTTTTCAGGGACCGCGTGGAGGTCGACCTGATAGGGTATTGATAGCAATGGGGACTAACCTCCCCATTACTAACAATCACTTACCCCATACCAGGAGGGCTGACTCCAAATAGAGGAAACAGCCGGGAGATCGATTGCTACACTACTTGCACGCGATTATGATTTTTTTTTCATTAAATATTTAGAGAAATTTAGCCGACTGAGGCTGTAATTGACATACCTGTATTTGGAAATAATTCCCTAAATCTAATAATATATTCTCTGCAACTGCGTGCATTTCTTTATCTGTTCTATTAGCTAATAACAAACCAAGGCAACAAGGCAATTTGCATGTGTAGTATGCAGTCTTAAATTTCACAATAGCGTTGTACCGATCTATTGTAAAGAGACTGTAGTCGTTTTTGCTGCGGTGTGCCATAGTGTAGTCCAAATGTTGCCCTATTGATGTAAATAATAATGTCTGAAAAAAAAATACAAGTACCTATAATATTTAAAGATTTTTGGGCAATAAAATATTAAGAACACAATATGGGTAGGATTTATATAGAACCAACACAGAAGAAAACTATCAAACGAGAAAAGAAAACGGAATATAGGATAATTTTTATAATAGTATTAAGACACGTGTCCGATTTTGAAAGCTCATTCTCTGGTGTATTTATTTAAATAAATACGATCAAATGAAGGTCAATTCACATGCCAAGGGTTTCCCACATGGAATAATTTGTAAATAGACTTTTTCTTTAGATAAATTAAAAAATATTAGAAGTAATCGAAACCCGAATAAAAATAAAAGTGAGACGAATGACTACCTGAATAAAAAGAGGAAAAAAAAGAATTAATTTTTTAGAATCGATAGGATTACATTAAATACTTTAATTTCTTTATGAGTCTATATTAAGTTTGTCATAATTGAAGGCAGACATTGTTGTTTTGTCTTCATTGTCTACAACACTTTGAAACAAAAGAAATAAAATTAATTACCTCATTAAAAAGATCCAGTATATCATTGTATTGCGGTTTACCGCTAAAGTTCGTTTTCAGTGTATGGAAAATAGAGGTATAGATGAGTATGGAGTCATTTATAGCTCCCAGACCGACGTCCGGCATCCGATACCAGCAGGGGACACCGCGGCGGGTCGTCGAGCCATCCATTATGTCATCAAGAATGATTAGATATGCTTGCAACTGCAAATATTTTTCTTAAAATGTAGGTATATATATAAATATGGATCGTGTGTAACCACTAACCGTTATTCGTACTTAAAACAATGGTTTTTAAAATGAAAAAGAAAATTTATGTACAAAAATATTAGTAGACAATGTTAGTTCAAATCAATCCCCGAAATCGCTAAAGCGATTCTAATAAAATCATAAAAATGTGCATTGATTGCTCTAATTTGAGTAAAATGTTATATTACGATAAGATAAAACCAGTTAGGTGCGAGTTGAAATCACACGCTGAGAGTATGATTTAAACTCACACCTAACGTAATGTATATAAATATATGTGACATAATCATCTAATACGAAATAGTAGTTATTATTATTGATGCTACAATACGTAATTGCTTATACGAGGTCTGTCCGGAAAGTTCGTATAAAAGTGTTCTGGAATGCGAGAAAGAGGAGTGGGGAGGCCAGGTAAGCGCAGGACCCCTTCCTTATGTCCCTAACAATGCTTCAGTTCTGGTCTGACCGCCGTGCGGTGCGAACTGGCTTGTCACGCCATCTGTGAAGTTACCTCTTAACGAAACCCCGTCGGCATGGAGCCCGCTTCCGTTGAAGAGCAGCGCGTCGTAATCAAGTTTCTCTCGAAACTCGGCAAGAATGGCCGTGAAATTTTTGCCGATCTCAGAACAGTTTATGGGGATGATGCTGTGAAGGAACCAACCGTCCACAAGTGGCTAAAAAGATTCAGAGAGGGCCGAGAAAGCGTTCAAGATGACCCACGTTCAGGACGTCCTTCCACTTCACATTCCGACGAAAACGTGGAAAGAATTCGAACTTGTGTTAATGGGGACCGTCGTTTAACGGTCAGACAGGTGGCTGAAGAGCTTAATTTGGGCAAAACCGTGGTCCACGAAATTCTAAGAAACGAACTTCAAATGAAAAAAATTTGCGCCAAGATCGTTCCGTGAGTTTTTGAGTAAAAATTCCATTACGGTGACCGAACACCCCCCCTCTTCGCCGGATTTGGCCCCGTGTGACTTCTTCTTGTTCCCAAAAACCAAATTGGTACTTCGGGGGCGGCATTTGGGGGACATAAATGAGATAAAAAAAGCTACGACGGGGCAGCTGAGAAACCTACAACCAGAGGACTTTCAAGGAGCCTTCTCACAGTGGAAACGGCGTTGGCACAAGTGCATTATGTCACAGGGGGAGTACTTTGAAGGGGATAAAATTGATTTACCTGAATAATTGTAAAATAAAATTTTTAAAAAACTTTTATACGTACTTTCCGGACAAACCTCGTATTGTATAATAAGTGTGGTTTAAAACATAATTAAATTTTTTTTTGGAGGTTTTTTCATAATTTCCCAAAAAATGGTGCTAGTTTAAAACTTTGTTTTGTTTTTCATGTAAATTTCACATATAGATATCTGTATAAACTGTAATTATACTTATCCGATTTTTTGCTTTAAAATTTCAGAGATAAGGGAATGTTTTTTTCTTACATATCGATAGACCGATGTGTACACGAAAATGATATTAGATTGTGGAATGTCAACTACTGTCATTTATAATAATTTAAAAATAAATAAATTATAATACCTACCTTGCAACATGGTTGGTAATTAATTAACAAACCATTATATAGATAAGTTGTAATGTAACGAAGATATTATTTCATACAAATTTATATATTATATGTAACATAAATATTACGATGCTATTATGTTAAAATAGATAATACAAGATACCTATTGTAAATAAGTTAGTGTCAAATGATGAAAACGTCTAAAAATTATCTCGACATATCCACGGGAACAGAAATAATGTGCACTGGAATGAACAAAGAAAAACTTCAAAAGTGAACAAATAGTAGATAATTACCATTTCTACACACCATCCCATAATACGAGCTTGTCTCAGTGACTCTTCAGTAATATTCTCTGGGCTTTCCAACATTTCATATGAAAACACAGTAATTAATCCTCTAGTTTTCTTTCCACCACTTAAATTGTAGTCTAAAATCTAAAAAAAGAATAAGCCGTGTTTAATAATCGAGAGTCTGTTCATGTAAGAGGTTTCATAACTTAAGACGAAGGTACAAAATGGAAGGGAGGGCATTAGTGTATTTAAGATTATTTTTAGAGTGGGCCTGACCGTTTAAGAAAAAGTATATATTTACATACTTATATGTCATATATCAGCCATATCTTTGTGCACAGCTGAAAGCCTAGTTTGCATGCAGGCTCACCTTATGTGAGCAAGTTCTTCCAGGCCCTCATTTAAATATGCTTATGGGGAAGGGACTAGCTCTTTGCTCAAAGTTACTACCCTTCTTTCATTTTACGTAAAAAAGGCAAATTATGTCAGCATATCAAACAAATTTCGTTATTTAAACTTTCAGATGGAAACCTCATTAAAGGGAAAGAGAGGCCAAATTTAAAAAAAAATCTCTACTTTATATATGTTGTATGTACTAGTTGTATGCCGCGCTTTCGCTTGCGTGAATTAATACATAAAGTATCATGATAATTTCAGCTGTTAATTGTCTATTGCTAAACATAAGCCTTCCCCATAAGGGGAATTTTGGCAATAGTTGCCACGCTTACTTGGTGGGCAACCGCAGTTACTTTTAGAGATGTTTATATATATGTAGAAGAGGGACGCTGCTGCCCAGTCCTCTACCATTATGTTCTATTAGTCGTCTCTTACCACAATCGCAGGAAAGGAAGAGGTGGCCTACTCTATACCGGGACCACATGGACATAAAGTAACCTATCTACTAATTAAGGGATATAACCTACCCATGTAGTAAATTTGATTCAAATCCTTTCTGTAGTTTTTGAGTGGATGCTACTCATTCATTCTTACAAACTTGCGCATTTATTGTACTAATAAGTTTGAAAAACAGTAATTTAATTAATTTACTATGTTTGTTACTTGATTGTCGACAATTGTTTCTACTTCACTCAAAAGTTTTCCATCAGTCTTTTTCAAAAGAAAAGCGAGTGTGGTGCTTACATCACAGTGTTTCCTATGTGACTTTGCCACATCGTCGTAAAAGATAAAAAGACCACGGTTATTACAATCATATTTTGCAATAATATATAATAATAAACAAAGTTTTAAAAATCATAATAAGTCTCATCTTATTTATGTCTTATCTTAAGTAGTTATAATATAATACAGAGTGGCCCATAAGTCCTTAGTAATGAAAAAAATTAATTAAAATAAAACTAATTACACTATGAATAATATTTTTATTTGTAAATATAGCTAGAAAAACGGGAATTATTTTTTGTAAATAACGTCGTCCAAATGTAATCCGTTACAGTCACGGCACTCTTGCAAACGCCTTCTGAAATTGTCGATGACTGCGCGGCACGTCACTGCTGAAATGCTTGCCATTTCTCTGCGGATGTTTTCTTTTAGGTCATTAATTGACCGCGGGTTAGAGTCGTACACTTTAGCCTTAAGGTAGCCCCACAAAAAAAAATCCATTGGAGTCAGATCCGGGCTACGTGGTGGCCAGGAAATGTCTCCTCTCTTAGAGATAACTTTGTTTGGAAAAAGTTGACGGATAACGGGCATAGCAGTATTGGAGGTATGGGAAGTTGCTCCATCCTGTTAAAACCATGTTCGGGCATTGAAGCCTGGAAAGTTTTGCAATTTTTGTGTGAAAAACTCCTCGATCATGGCCACATATCGCTCCGAAGTAACAGTAACAGCACGCCCTCTGCCGTTCTCAAAAAAGTAAGGCCCTATGATGCCATGGGCTGACATAGCGGCCCAAACTATAACTTTAGGGCTATGTAAGGGCTTCTGGTGCTTAAGTTTTGGATTAATCGGGCTCCAATAGCGGCAATTTTGTTTACTAACATGTCCGTTAATGTGGAAGTGTGCCTCATCAGAGAACATTATGTTATTGAAGGAAGTAAACCGATTAAACATTTCATTAGCATAATTCACTCTCTGAATAGCATCAGTTTCTTTTAATTCTTGCAACAACTGAATTTTGTAAGGGTGCATAAGTAAATCTTTCTTCAAAATCCGTTGTAACGATGTCCTGGATACGTTTAATGCACTGGAACGCTTACGAGTTGACTGTGTAGGATTTTCACGAATAGATTGTGCCACTGTGTCGATGTTTTGTTCCGTAACGCAACAACAACGCAACGGTTGCCGAATTGTTGTTTTGATAAAACTCGCGCACACAAAACGCACGGCCCGCTCCGGTGAAACGCTCCATCGCGACTAAATTCCCAGAAACCGAAGTTACTGCCCCCGCTTCCCCTGCACCGCTCACGCGCGCCGTTTTCGTTTAATTCAAATTTTACTTTTCTAAGGACTTTTGGGCCACCCTGTATAAATACATTATAACATATTATATAAGCATGTTATTGCACTACAGTGTTATATTGTATTTAATACAATCATTGATGTAATGCTTATTTTTGAGCTGTGGTTTTGAACAAATGAATGCATATGGTAATCTGTTTACATTTTCAGAACATTTAAGGATAAATAAAACATTTGTTTAACCGTTTGACAGCTATCTATCAAAATTCTAATACATTCTAAAACTGCTATGGAAAATTTGCCCTTCTTTTTTGTAACTCTTACACTGTCCGAATTTGCATTGGAGAAAATCAGAATTACTGGACGCGGCTTTGTTTTCTTATCTTTGAACGAACACATCAAGATAAGATAAAAAGTTAAAAAAAAATATTTATAAAATAAAAACTGATGTATCGACTTTTTATGAAATGAAATATTTATTTGCTTTAAACAGACATTTGACATGTGACAAAACTTTTTGGCATCTGTTTAACTGCCTTAAAATTGTAGGCATGCAAATCTAATTTATTGCTTAAATAAGGATTCAAATTTAATTTAGACATTATTATGATTATAGAATAATAAAAAAAAAGAAAAAAAATTCTCAAACAATTATCAAGTCAAATCAATAAATGTAAGTACATATTCAATATCGTCAAATAAAATTAACAATTACATTATTATTATTAATTAAATACAAATTACAATAGCAAATTTATGTAAAGTCTTAAGGATTTATATTATCAATAATTATGTTAACTATTTTTGGGATGTGTAGGCATAATATTCTCCCATACTGTAAAAGACCTTATCCAGAAGCCATAGATGAAGCCGTTTCTTAAATATTTTCAAGGGAAGGTCTAAAAGATCTTAAGGAAGTTTATTATATATTTTTTGGGCCATAAATGAAACATTCTTTTGGTACAAGGTCAAATTACTTTTTGGTATTACAAGTTTATTTTTTCTGTGTGATCTAATGTCTTCTTTGAGTTGTCCGCATGTATTAAATAATTCAGGGTGTTGCTTAATAAAAGTACATATAGCAAATATATACATGCAAGTCAGGGGAAGGATTCCTAATTTTTTAAATAATGGCCTACAAGATTCCCGGCACCCCACATTGCTAATAGCCCTTATACATTTTTTTTGCGCTTTGAGGACTCTTTCTATGTCAGGCGAATTCCCCCAAAAAATAATCAAACCATAACTAAGTGCCGATGAAACAAATCCATGATATGCACTAAGAGTATGGTTGCAATCTGGCGCAATTTATACAATGCAAATACAAATTTATTAATTTTTTTACAAACGGAAACACGTTGATTATCAACGTGTTTTTTCCAATTTAAGTGTTTATCTAACGTGATACCTAAAAAAGTAGTGGAATCCACTACTTCTATATTATTATTTTTGTAATTTATATTTAAGTCAAGACTGGTTTAGGCTTGAGAAAGAACACTTTTATTTAAAAAACACACGAGCGGCAAGAAACAACATCCCACGGCGACCGACAAACACGCACTTAAATGGCAGCGCTACCGCGCCGCGTAGCTGTATTACAGACGTAATATCGAAACGCGACGGCGCCGCGTAGCGGTCAAACGGTTAAATAAAACATTTTAAAATTATTTATTGACAACACCTGGCATTTTAAATAATTAACAATATGCATTGTTTTATAAGTAAATATTACAAAGTCAAATAAATGACTACAGTGCTGATGTTACTTATACTGGAGATTACAGTGATAAGTATTTTACGCTATACTTATAATATATAATTAAAATAAAAATAAAATATATAGCATTAAAAAGAAATTGGATTCATATTAAAATTATATTAAAACAGAAAGCTACTATGCAAAATGAAACCACTGCCAACTTAAGGGTTTCCGATTTCTAGTACATTGTACTAGATCATTCCTATACAAATATTACCCTATATTAAAAATGCAAAACTGAGTTTGTTTGGCACCTTAACGGCTCAATCATTTTGAAATTTAGGTATACAAGTACTATATGGAATGGAAAAGACTAGGGCAATGAACATATCCCAGGATGAATATAATATTATATATTTTGTAATTGGTGCGGGCAGATGATGGCGGCCTGTGACACCCATGATTTTTCAGTGGGGTCTATCTAATTTATTGTTTATTATTCGGTTATAAATGTAAAATCAGCATGGCAAGTTACACGACTAAGTAACTTCATAAGAGCACATAGACGACACTTTTTTGATGTTCCGTTAAGAAGAACTGATATTGAACTAAATATACATTATGCTACTGTATTTCACTTGAATTGTTTATATACCATTATTTGCATTTACGTTTCTGGTGCAATAAAAAAATAAATAAATAAATAAGAACAGAGTTTACCAAGCAAACTCTCTCTTGCATTGAAACTACTCAATGATGTTGTGAGCCAGTATCCACAATTAGATGTGTTTGCCTCCATCTTTCTAGAGTTCCATCAGATAACCACAGAGTGTTTGTGTTTGGAGATTTAAGATATAGATGTTATTTCTATTACTGTTATGTGATTTAAATCTTATTAGTATTATTCCATTTAATTATACATATGTGTTAATGTATTGACACTTTCCTGGGTGAGCGTATTGGGAGACTGTAAACCCAGTTAATAAAATAAATAAACATACAAATGATAATATTTGAATATCAAAATGTATGTTATTCATTAGTACAAATGTTGCGCACATTTTACAAACGGACTGATTAAATGCGGACTATTCTATTGCTAACAGTATATTTTATCAGGTCAACCTCCCCATAGTCCCTCTGAAAACAATCATGGTGAATTCTAGGTCTATTCATTACAATAGACTAACTGACTTGCAGCGGGCAGTATATATAGTTCACGAAGGCTGGGTTACCATTCCATTATTATACATTTAAAAACACACCCATTAAAGATCCAATATTTAAAAGCTTATAATTAATAACTATAGACAATACCGTTTTTGGGCTGGGAATGCATCAATATGGTATTTTTTTTTTTATACTACATAGAATGGCAAACAAGCTGACGGCCCACCTGATGGAAAGTGGTAACTGTCGCCTATAGACATGAGCAGTACCATGGACATAATAGAGTATACTGTTTCGCCCATGATACCCCCCATGCGTTACCATTCCTGAGGACTCAGGTGTTATTCCTCTGTACCCAGTAAATTCACGCCATATCCCACCCTTCAAACCGAAACACAGTTATGCAAACACAACTGCTTCATGGTTGAAACACGAATGGGACAGGGTACCCAAGCAATCGACTTTTGTACAAAGTCTCCCTCTGGTAATAGTAATCTGGTATAGTAATTGAATATTGACCACTAGGATCTGTGTCATCATAAGAGGCTACAACTTACATTTGAGTGATATAATATTTCATAGATAATGGCAAATATAGGCATTTCAAATAAAAAAAAAAGAATTTCATTAATACCTCTCAAATAAGCTTGTTTTATTCAATTTTAACATTACCTAACCTTACTGAAAAAACCTTTTATATAAAAATACTAACCTTTTTAATCCAATTAGATACATCAGGTACTTCTGACAATTTCTGGCTTTTTACAACTGAATCCAATACATAAGGTAACATATCTTGAAATGTTTCCTTTTCTTTTTTTGACTGAGATACTGATACATTAGTCGCTGTTCTGACATGGTTGAACTGTTGAAAAGATCTGTAATTAAAAAAAAAAAGCATTAGTGCTTACAATAATTAACAACACCATGGATTTCATAGAATATACTGTCATCCCTGGTATTCTTTATAAGTATGCTACTTAAGAAATAGGGAACAGAGTTTTTGCCAAAATCTATTAATATAAAACAACTCCTAAAGTTAAGAATAGTCATCTAAGAATTTATTTCTTTAGCTCCAATAGTTGAGGTATTTGCTCTTATTGTCCTGTCTTCAATATTAAGCCTGCACATAATATAAAAAGCACTTTTTATTAAATACAAAACAAAAAAAATATTTTTATACAATTGAAATAAACAATATCTTTTCTATTAATTTAGATAAATTGTTATTAATTATTAATTTAGATATTGTTTATTAATTACAATTTATTACTTATTAGATAATAAGTAATAAATTGTAATTAATAAACAGTAACACAAATAATAAAATAATAAACAATTCATTCATTCATAAAAAAAATTGTTACGTTTAATTTAGCCTAAACCAGCATAGATATGAAAATGCCATTGGTTTGGTAATTACATATTTAAAGTTTTATGGATATATTTAACTGTATTTTTTTATTAATACATAAATGCATTTTGTATTAAAAACAATTTCAAAAAATTAATAATTACAAGTAAATATACCTGGATCTTACAAAGAAAATAGACCTGAGATAAATGTTACATTTACTACTGTTGTTCAAAATCATGTTGACAAAAGAATTTCTTTTGGTGCTTTTTTTATTCAGAGAATAATCAGGTTATCTGGCAATGTCATCATGTTTTGTTTGCAGGCATTCAAATGTAAATTATTAAACAACATTTATCAGTTGCTTATTATGTATTTATTCTTAGCATTACAATCTTATGTCGTTAATCACACAATATGTAAATTACTTCAGCTATTATTATAATAAATATGTATAAAATTCTAAGAAAGTTAAGCATTAAAATTGTTATTTATGAAAGGCCCAAATTTTGTTACTTACCTAAAAGAACCTGTATTTTTAATGTAAGAATTACAGGATTTATTAAATAGCAATCTAAGTATACACATAGCATTCATGGTTTTAGTAAATTTGTTTCAACTTTCACTAAAGAATGCACATAAAAATTTTGTAGTATTATGCAAATAATTTCTCTTTAGAAAACGTACTGATTTTAAGCTCGAGTTCGGGAATCACAGCGCAAACTTTAAAGATTTCAGATATTCCAACAAATACAAACTTTATAATGAGCTCGGAGGATTAACTATTTTAAATTTATATCAGAAATGAAAAGTTTTACTAAGGAATCAAAAGACATTATTTTCTTTTGACTTCCGTCCGCCGATTCTGAGCATTTTAGAGATGCCATGTACATCGATGTATTGTATATACTCGATGTATAGTAACGAGCAACGTTTTGATCGATTTATTATTAAAACTTTAATATCGAATATATATCGATGTATTTTATTCTATGCATCAAATAACCAAACTGAGATGAGTGTCTAGGAGTACGATTAACGTCGACCACTGCCACTAAACTAAAAAGTTTCCAGAGACTGGCTTGTTCTTCTATCAGCGGCTGCATGAAAACAACTCTAACAATAGCAATAGAGGTTGCCTTCAACATAATACCCCTAAATCTGCACATACAGCAGAAAGCGGACTTAGCTGCTATCCGACTAATGCATCTCGATCTATGGTATATATAACCACAACATCTTCATAATTATATTTTGAACCAGGCAATCAAGTACGAACCATTGATTGCGGCTCCGTGTGATAAGACTCATATACATTATATATTCAATTATCGATTACAAATGAAAGAAGAGGAAAAGGACCGATCTGGAGTACATGAATTACGCATATATACTGTTGGCTCCAAAACTGAGAACGGTTCAGCAGCCGAAGTCTTTTCCCTAAATCTTAATATAAACATACCCATATCGTTTGGAGAAAACAGCTCAATGACCGAGGCTGCTGTAGCTGTACATAAGCTAGGAATAAATGACATTGGCTTTAGATTACTATCTGATAGCGCAGCGGTACTAAAAGCATTATGAAATAACAAGACAAATAACAATTTAATAATCGAATGTCACCGGACACTGGATAAGATATCTTTTAATAATCGAGTTATCCTCCAGTGGATAAGGGAGTACAGTGGATCTTATGGTAACTATTTCTTTTGTTTCTTGAACGATTCCTCTTCCGTTCTCGCAATTTAGAAAATGGATGCATCAAATACAAGGTGACTCAAAAGAAAGTTCACATTTAAAAATCGATAAAAAATTAAACAAGGAGTTTATTAAAAAAAAATGTTTATTACATATTAAAATACACTTTTTGAGAATTTATTTATTGAAAATGATATCGTCCAAGTGTAAACCGTTGCTCCTGGATATCAATTTGCCAGGAAAGATTTCACGAACTCGTGGTAAAGACCTGTTAGACGTGTGTGAAGTTGCTCCGTCCTGCTGGAACCATGTTCTTTGGTTATAACCAGGAAAGTTTTGCAGTTCAGGCATGAAGAAGTTGTCTAACATCTCCACATAACGGTCCGAGTTCATTGTAACTGTGCGTCCCCTTTCATCTTCAAAAAAGTAAGGGCCGATAATCCCTCTGACCATATGGGCTGCACATTTGCACATTCTGGTGTTTGTGTTTTGGATTAGTTGCACTCCAGTATCGGCAATTTTGTTTGTTTACATGTCCATTGAGATGGAAATTAGCTTCAACCTAAAAGAATATGTTAGTAAACGTTGAAAAGCGCTCAATCATTTGATTTACGAAGTCAAACCTCTGCCTAGCATTCTGAGGCTCTAATTCTTACACTGATTAAATTTTGTAGGGGTGCAGCTTTAAATTTTTTGTGTGAAATGCGTAATAACGACGATCTATGCACGTTTAAAGCATCAGCACGCTTCCGAATCAAAAGGTTTGGGTTGTTACGAACTGATTGAGAAACACTGTCTATGTTTTCGACCGTTCTGAAAGATCTTGGACGTCCGGATTTTGATATTCCAGCGTTGAACCGGTCTCTTCAAAGTTTTTGAGCCATTTATCAATGAGTTTAGGGCTCAGCACATCATTTAAATATCGAATATTGCAAAATTTTCTACGCGCTATAGTTGCTGAATTACCTTTTTTGTAAAACTCGCGTACGCATAACGCACGGTCCGCTCCTGAGAAACGCTCCATAGCGACTAAATTCCCAAAAGCTAGGCTACCGAATGACATACCCCCCGTGCCCCTCAGAATAGTTGCGTTCACGCAATAACCAAAAAAAATGTCACCTTTCTTTAACAGATACACAGAGACACCCAGTATTAATTAACATACAAAACCAAAATGGATACAGGCTATTGATTGCAGACAATCAAAATATACTGTACCAACGTTAATTAAACGATTATCAAAACGTTTATTATATCTAGATAGGAGAAACTTTAAAATAATAACGGGCCATTACCTATTAAACAAACATTTATACACACGCTTCTGTGCTTTTGGGAAGAGCTGGGCTGGCTGTACTAGTCACGACTCATACGCACAATGGCCCAAATGAGAGGTTAAGTACAAAAAAGTGAGTCCAATTTATATTATATTACATTATGTACGCCCAACAAAGTCTGACGACTCTCATTTTATTCGAATGTCGTATCGAAAATTATTTAAGGTTAAGTATAAGTAAATTTTTAGTTTTACATAGAATTGAAAAAAAAAATATTGGAATTTATAAAGAATAAGCTATGTTTACTGTGTGATTGTATATTTCAATAAATATTTTCCTTTGTTAAGTACAAAGGAAAATATTTATTGAAATATTTTCCTTTGTACTTATCTCGGTTTATCTCGGTTTCCATAAGGCTTAAACATGTTCACTGCGGAAAACAACGATGTCTTTAAAATATCGATGTAATTTTCAATACATCATATTAATATCGATGCGACGAATTGATTCATTAATCGAATAAATTCAATGTCTATTTTAAATGGCATCTCTAGAGCATTTCTATTACGTGTTTTGTTTGTCTGTCAATATCAAGTAATTAATCTGTTGAAAATGTCAAATGTGTCAGTGTCAGCTCAGATTGTCAATGTCATAATCAGCAGAAGAATCAGATTAGTAACGCAGAATAAAATACCCAGAATATGATCATCTTCCTACCCTTATCCCAGAATATAATATAGGTAGAATATACTTGACAAGACAACTACACGAAACAAGGTATGTTTGTTGCGTATGCTATTACTGATTCGACACGTACATGCAGCGTTTCTTGTTTTTAGGTTAGAATAATTCGTTTTTTTAATGGATGATAACGGAATGGTTATCCCACCTACGCTAAAGGTGTATACAACCAATGAAAAATAATAGATAGATAAGGAGGAAAAGACAGGTCAGTATGCCCACTATGATGAATACACTTGGAATTCTGCATGATGGTTTCCAGGGGAACCACGTGGAGATTGACTGGATAGGGAATATTGCTAGCAATGGGACTGGTAGTTCCCCTTCCCTTCTACCCGTCGTGGAGTTTAGACGTGTGCACTTTGATTTTCAATATCATATTTTAAATAATCTATTAAAATATCTACCTCGAAAAATTTGTTCAAGTACCAGGAAGACATAAACGAACAGTGTTCTTCAAGCGAAAGAAGAGTACATTATAATTGAATTATAAAAGTGAGTAAGACAAACATATTTCATTCGATACTCAAATCTATAGACAGCACGAAAGAGTCATTTTTAAGGAAATAATTGCAGAAATGTCACCTGTTGCGTTTGACTTACGCCCCTCCCACTAACTAGAGTGTGCGAAACAAATATACGTAAATAAAAGAAACAACAATATTTTTTATCAACCTCTGCCTGAAGTACAATTGTGCCTAACTATAATTAATAAGCGCGCGCGCTGATTAAAAATAGGCCTAGACTGCAATACAAACATTGTATAACATGTCTTG